AAAGGCGAAATTCTGTCGAAAAATTGAGGTAAAATTGCCTCAAAAATTACTTTTTTTTCAAAAAATTGACGATTTTTGCCCAAATCTTCAAAATAATTGTGTTACAGTATTGACTGATGTATCTCTTGCATCCAGATGAATTTCTGCCTTGTTTGGAGAAAAGTCAATTTTTGGCCGATTTTGACTAAAAATATAAGGCTAACCCCTTACATTTTTTTTTCAATTTTAGCCAAAAAAATGAAATTTCCTGAAAGTTGCTAGAAAGATGCCTGAAGGGTCCAAGAAAGCATTCCAAATCGATTGCTGGACAGTTTTGCTATTAAAGGGGAAATTCTGTCGAAAAATTAAGATAAAAAAGTATGTACCGCTAGAGGCGACTATCAATAGTCGCCCCTAGAAGTACGTACCGCTAGAGGCGACCATCAATAGTCGCCCCTAGAGGTAGGTACCTCTGGGGGCGACTATTGATTGTCGCCTGTAGCGGAGGTAGGTACTGCTAGAGGCGACCATCAATAGTCGCCCCTAGAGGTAGGTACCGCTAGAGGCGACCATCAATAGTCGCCCCTAGAGGTTGGTACCGCTAGAGGCGACCATCAATAGTCGCCCCTAGAAGTAGGTACCGCTAGAGGCGACCACCAATAGTCGCCCCCAGAGGTACGTACCGCTAGAGGCGACCATCAATAGTCGCCCCCAGAGGTACGTACCGCTAGAGGCGACCACCAATAGTCGCCCCTAGAGGTACGTACCGCTAGAGGCGACCATCAATAGTCGCCCCTAGAGGTACGTACCGCTAGAGGCGACCATCAATAGTCGCCCCTAGAGGTATGTACTGCTAGAGGCGACCATCAATAGTCGCCCCTAGAAGTAGGTACCGCTAGAGGCGACCATCAATAGTCGCCCCTAGAGGTACGTATCGCTAGAGGCGACCATCAATAGTCGCCCCTAGAGGTTGGTACCGCTAGAGGCGACCATCAATAGTCGCCCCTAGAAGTAGGTACCGCTAGAGGCGACCATCAATAGTCGCCCCTAGAGGTACGTATCGCTAGAGGCGACCATCAATAGTCGCCCCTAGAGGTACATACTGCTAGAGGCGACCATGAATAGTCGCCCCTAGAGGCACGTAAAGATAAAATTCTGTAAAAAAATTAAGATAAAATCGCACCCCAAAAAACTTTTTTTCCCCCAAAATTTACGATTTCTGCCCAAATCTTCCAAATTATGTGTGTTTAGTATTAATTGATTTTCCTCTTGCATCCAGATGAATTTCTGCCTTGATTGGAGAAAAGTCAATTTTTGGCCGATTTTGACTAAAAATGTAAGGCTAACCCCCTGCATTTTTTTCAATTTTGGCCAAAAATTGTAATTTCCTGTAAGTTGCTAGAAAGATGCTTTAAAGGGCCTTAAAACGCATTCCAGATCGATTGCTGGAGAGATGTGCTATTAAAGGGGAAATTTGGTCGAAAAATTGAGGTAAAATTGCTCAAAGAATGACCTTTTTCTCCAAATATTGACGATTTTTGCCCAAATCTTCCAAATTATCTGTGTGTGAGTATTGATTGGTGTTCCTCTTGCATCCAGACGAATTTCTGCCTTGTTTTGAGAAAAGTCAATTTTTGGCCGATTTTGACTAAAAATGTAAGGCTAACCCCTTACCTTTTTTTCAGTTTTGGCCAAAAAAAAGAAATTTCCTGAAAGTTGCTAGAAAGATGCCTTAAAGGGCCCTAGGACGCATTCCATAACGATTGCTGGACAGATGTGCTATTAAAGGGGAAATTCTTTCGAAAAATTGAGGTAAAATTTTTCTCTAGAAATTGACGATTTTTGCCCAAATCTTCAAAAATATGTGTGTTAGAGTATTGACTGATGTTCCTCTTGCATCCAGATGAATTTCTGCCTTGTTTGGAGAAAAGTCAATTTTTGGCCGATTTTGACTAAAAATGTTAGGGGTTAGTTAGCCTTACAATTTTCGACAGAATTTACCCCTTTATTAGCACACTTGTCCAGCAATCGACTTGGAATGCGTTCTAGGGCCCTTAACGCATCTTCCTAGCAACTTTCAGGAAATTTCATTTTTTGGCCAAAATTGAAAAAAATTCAAGGGGTAAGCCTTACATTTTTAGTCAAAAAAGGACAAAAATCGACATTTTACCCATTGAATACTGAGAGCAATAAGTAGTCATCACCGTAAAGAAATGTTGTCAACACGGAGAAAAATAACGGGAATCACCGTCTTCAGAAAATCTGCCTAACTATTGACCAGAAACAACGCACAATACCGATTTTATTGGATTGAAATTTCGCCTAGTGATTGGTCGTGAATAGTAACCCAAGCCTATTGAATATTGAAACAAAACGTAGCAGTCACCGTAAATACAATTATTTTTGTAAATACGGAGAAAACCTGCCTAACTGAGGTCAGTCTCCAGAAAAAAACTACTGAACAGACATGATATAACAGAAACATGACCTATGCCATTTTTTTAATACAATGCTTTGTTTTATTTCACTGGAATGGAAAGAGGTTAAAGTCCGACCGTGTTTAAGATTTTACACATTTACATAATTTTTCCCAATATTAATTTGGACAAAGGAGCTGATTGTCGGCCGAGACCATAAACTCCAAGGGCAAATCTTGCAAACATTTCTTACATACAGCAGTTAAACTTGGCTAAAAAAAACTCCTGCCACTGCAGGCTAGTCAACATTCTAAAATATTTCAAAGATTCATAATGAAAATAAATGCGAGTGAACGAAACAAATGGGTTTAAAACCAATAGAAGAGTGAAGCATATACAGTCGTTGGTAGTTGCTGGTGAAATTACTGATTATGCAAAGGATTAATAAGGCAAAAATCATGCAAAATAGTTGTCCTGTTGTTAACTGATCTCTTGACTTATCTATCATTGAAAGTTGCTGATGTCAGGTTTTGGGCAAAGTCAGAAATGATTTGGAGATATATTTGACGAGTCCCAGAGGGCCGCTTTGTACCTATCTCACTGACTGACTGACTGACTGAGTGACTGATTAGCTGTCACTTGTGACTTAGACTGCTTGGTTGTAGAGAGTCGGGCAGTGCTATTGTATAGGATGACCTCGTAACATCTATGGCTGGGCTAAATTTGGCCCACTGTGCAGACCAGATGCATGAAAAGACTTCCAGTGAATGGCCAATCTGAATCAAATGAATAGAATTTTGGGCACTCAGGGCCCAGAAACTTGTCTTGTTAATCTATTTAACAAAATCAAACATAATGAACTTTTCTAAAAACTTGATTTGTGCCCTTTTTTAACCACCTGTGACAAAACTCAACATCGACCACAAATTCTGTAAATAGCAGTAAGATGTTGGTCTACAGAGGACAGATAAAATCTACAACCTTTGATGCAGATTACAAAAATAAGATTTAAAAAATACAGATATTCATCAGGATTACAGTACTAAAAGTTCCGACAGATCCAGTGGAGAATTATAAACAAACCACGGGAACCAACGGTACAAAAAAAACGACTCGCACTCCCTTTTAGAATTTGAGAGGAATTAAATTTGCAACAAAAGTTAAAAAAAAAAAAAATTAAAAAACTTGAAATCAAAGAAATAAATTTCATTTAAAAGGAACACGATCTAGAAAATACTATGTACAAAACAAAAGAAAAAAAATCTGCTTTGCAAAAGATGATATCAAGCTAAAGAAAAACTACACGCAGTTTGTAAACTAAAAAAATCTAAAAACCTGTGATTTTGAGTTTTTGTGTGAAAGCAGATATTTCATTCCAAGAAACCAATGCAAATAATCCTAAAACAAGTTTCCCTTATAAAACATATTTTTCCCCCCAAATTCACAACTAGATTTGAAAGAAAAAACTTGGAGCATACACAATAGTTTTAAAGCCAAATTTCAATTTCCCTTTAAATCATTATTCATACTCCAAAATGACCAAAGATTTCCAAGAATTAATTATTCATGTCAAATGATTCGAAGGCCAGAGAAGCAAAAAGAAAAGAAATTATATACAATTAACAAACACCAGCTGATGATGACTATGTTGATTCTCTACTGGTTTGAAATGCATGCGTAAAACTGTTTGTATAACGTTAGTCAAATGAGGTATCTTAGTATTTTCGAAAAAAAAAAAAAGGAAGAGTTTTCACTATACAAACAAGTTGTCATATCGCTCCAAAGGCGGATCCAGGAGGGGGGGCCCAAAAAGGGCCATGCCCCCCCCCCCCAAAAAGTGACGTCACAATAAAGGCAGGCAATGAGTACTCCACAATATTTTCCTCAAAAAACAGTGGTCAGAAATTGCCTGAGATCGCACCACATAGCATCTAGGGGCCCCGAACCCCACGCCGTAATTTTTTTGGACCCACTTTTTGGGGCCCAATTTTTGTTTTTTTCCTCCCCAAAAAACTGTGTTCTGGATCCGCCCTTGTTATCACTCATAATACCTCTTGGCTATTAAACACAAGTCATGATTGGCACTACAGTAAAAACGTCATATGTATAACAATTACGAACATCGCTATAACGAACATTGGAACATCCCCTTTAGCTCCTGAAGTATTTGATTTTATTATAATGCACCATGGCTATAACAAACGACCACTACAACGAAAATAAATTTACGGACCTCATTGCCTTCGTTATAGTGGCGTTCTACCGTATTTCACCAATTTGTGAAATGGTGTCAACCTATCGATCACCTAGTCAGGTGGCTTGTGATTGTGTTGTGACTGGCTTGTGATTGGTTTGTGATAACTTATGATTGACTTGTGTTTGGCTTTTGATAACTTATGATTGACATGTGATAACTGCAAACTGTTTTGCAAACAACCATTAGTTTTTGCGTCAATGATCAGACACTATCAAGGGAGGGAACTTCCCAGAACTTTGTTCATAATTCAAACAATTGAAAGTTGGTTGCAAGGGTGCAAAATAAAAGTTGGTTGCAAGAGCGCAAGCACCATCTAACAATAGAGGTAGGAATTGACAAATCTAGAGTTCACAAAACAACAAAACTGGTTTAATTGAAACAGCTATGCTCTCTATCAAAGTCGGGGAGAAAAAGACCATTTCGTCGCGTCAGTGCAACAAGGTCGTAACTCGATTCTTCAAGAAAATCTATCTCACGGGAATACGTTCCGTGCCCAATGTCGCATCTCAACGCCCATTGACTTTGTGTGTACATCCGGGTTACTTTAATGGGATACGACCTTTTGACATTGAAAACTCGCGTTACACGTACATGACGTCACACGCCATTTTAGGAGATACGACGTTGTTGCACAGACACAATGATTTCTAAAGACTAATTTTTTTTCAAGTTTCGGTATGTACATGTATATCTTCAAAAGTTTCAGCGTCCCAAGAAAATTCATTTACACGTTTTGTTATTGAACATTTCATGATGAAAAAATTATTTTCACAGTTTTCATTATAGTGAATTTACTGATTCAGTCGATTCTAATCAAATTCTAATCAAGTTCTGGATCCAACGGCATAAAAAACACGATTCCAAATTTGAGAGCATTCACAATTTTGCACAATTCAATCATTAAAAATTCTCAAGGTATCCCATTGCAATATTCTGTACATTATAAAAAAAAAGTTATGTACTTTTTTTTTAGACCAAAAGACAGCCATCTTTGACTTCGCTTGCATATACGCCATGGCAGGGAGTGAGGCGTTGTAACCAAATAGACAGGTGCCTCAGACACGATGGCACTCTTTACTGTACATTGTATTCCAGAAACCTGACCAAGATGGCAGCCAGTCTCAATGCTCCAGTCCTTCTAAGACTCCGACAATGTAAGCCCAAAACATTTCATAAAAAAACAAAAACACAAAGGCTTCTTTCAAAAACAACAAAACAAAAGGAAAACAGTTCATGATATTTGTAAACAATATATATTGATACAGCTCAGACCAACTGTCAAAAAGTGAAAGCATTTTTATGTCCACATTTCTGAGGCTTTTGCATTTTACTCTTTTAAACAGAGCTGAAACTCGTCTCCATTTGCTCAGCAGAGATGACTTTACTAGCAGGGAAAAACAAGCATACCACCGAAATAAGCCCGTTCGGTATCTCGATGAAGTAGTCCAGGTCAAAGGTCATTTGGGATAAAATCGCAAACGTGATGTTACGTGATGTTACGCGAACGCCCATTCTGCTCGTGTGTGCATTTAATTATCCCAAATGACCCCTGACCCATATCACTGTGCGCAGTTGAAATACCGAACTGGCTCATTGGCGTGATACTTCTGAACGATTCTCAACTGATTCACGCTTAGCAGGAGTAATTCTTCTAAGCAAAATATTCTGCTTACAGCTCTCTAAAACTTAAATCTACACGTAAACACTTTTAAAATGTTCACTGATATTGGAAACATCGGTTCAAATTTTAAGCAATCTAATCCAGTTTCACACCCCCCCCCCCACCCACCGAAAAAATCTATTCACAGGATGTTTAAAAAAAATTCAATATTTCTACAGCTTCAGTAATTATGGCTTCCGTGATGGACTCACTATAATTTACGCCATATGCAAATGACGTTCCTGTTGGTGACTGACACGATGTATTTGCAGTCGGAGCTGATAGCGACGTCGTTGATGATGATGTGATCATTGGAGGAGGTGGAGGCGTTGTCGTTGGGCTGCTCGTCTGGCCAGTACAGTAACTACAGTTTGAGGGGGACGGGAGAGAACAAGGTTATTAAATGAAAAAATAGTTCTTCATCTGATGATACTTTCTGTCAGGACAAAGTGAACCTTTAAACATGCCAAATAGATTTTTGACAGTAGTTTTACAGTGTGTAAATGGCTGCATGGTTTTCTAGGAAAGTACAGCTCACTGATAAATGCTCAACATTTTATGAGTACAAACTGAGTCCTATTTCATGGTCCTGCTTAACATAAAAAGCGAAGAATCCCTGCAAAGTTTAAGCAGAAAATTCCATACTAACAATCAGCCTGTTTCACAGGTTCAAGGGTCCACATTTTGTGCAACTTTCTACTCCTCTTAAATGTATGAAAACTAATAGATAAACATATAGGTTTCTATGAGTTATACAGATTACTTTAAACAAAGGAATAGGCTCTGAAGTTTGAAATATACAGTGAAATCTCGATAAGTCAAACTCTGATAACTCAAAATAACTGTTAAGTCAAACAAAGAATACATTCCCTTCAGTAGTATAACAATGATATACAACCCTGCTTAACTCAAACTCTGCTTAAGTCAAAGTTTGAACCTGTTCCCTTGAGGTTTGACTTATCCAGATTTCACTGTAGGTTTTTATAGGTTTTAAAAGTTTCCCGGTGAGGCCTGATGAACTTTTAACTGCTCCAATTCATCTCCTAAGGTAGATCCTTAACCCTAACCGAACTCAACCCACCAAAGTTCAACAGCAGGTTTTGTTTAAATCTGTTGGGATAGGTACAGTACCCCTAAACTGATGGTCTTTTACACTGGGGTTGGCATACATCCAGAAACTAAGTCCAACAGTGTGTGTGTATTATTTCCCATGTGGGTGTTGGAATTTGCCAGAATGGGTATGGTTCCTAGTAAATTGGGCTGGGGAGTTAGGGTTAAGGTACTGGTACTGACATGTTGAGGTTTCCTGGTGGTGGGTGATTTGACCGGATTGACTGGCAGCTTGGAGGTGTCGTACACCCAGATCTTGCCTTCATCATCACCACTGACTAGAGACCCACATCCTGGAGGGAGAGGTAAGATAAGACAAATATGAACACAATACAGAATAATTGATGAATAATGATTACAAAATGTCTAGTGATGAAAAGTGTGGTCAGTAACCATGTCAAAGTTCACAGAGCACTTATTTTAAATGTCTCAAAGGGCTTCACAATTCATATAGGTTTTTCCGGCCAATTTCTTAAAATGTTCATTCACTTCTGAAAATCGGTCATTCATTTTCGTCTGAATTTCAGAATCGCTCTGAACACGCGTTTGATTTTTGCTGCCAGAGCATTCGATTCCATTTCAGTTCAATCAATTAAGTGATTGAGCAGAACCTTTCGTTTATGTCCATTCAGATTCGTTTATACGACTTCTTTTTTGCTTTTAGAGGGCGATTTCAAATATTCACCATTCTATTTCACTGTTAGTTTAATGCCATCGGCACCAGATACAATTAAGAGTTTCTTTTTCATTAATCGTCAATCAAATTTGCTGAACCTGATGCTTGCGTAAATGAATGCGCAGGAAACGTAATTGGCTGTCTGTTTCTCAAAACCGAATGCACGGACAGTGAAAATGATTGAACTTTCATTGAATCTAAAAGGGATTAGACGCCCATGCAAATTCAGACGAAAATGAATGACCCATTTTCAGAAGTGAATGAACATTTTAGGAAATTGGCCGAGAAAACCTACACCTCTGTTCAACCAATCATGAAATCAGTTCAATGCAGCAATCCAAGATCAGCGTGATCTGTTCTCTGCCCTCACAGTTACCTGTTTATACTTCAAGATGAAGAGATGGGATTGTGTTGTAATGTCTTGCCCAAGAACACAAGCACGGAGGTTTCCGCTGGAGTTTGAGCACTGGACCTCTACTGGCGTGTTGGACACACACCACTGTGTTCTAGGGCCAAAGATACAACCATCCTCTAACAAGAGTCAAGATCAATTCTAAACCCACCTTGCCATGTGCCAATATCCAGATAGACACTGTCTGAGTCACACCACTGCATGGTGCACTGTGGAGTGACAGCCACTTCCTTGTTGTTGGGTTTCTTCTTGACTGCGTCCACCAGGTTCCAGACGTGGATGGCTCCATCGCAGGCAACTTTGCTGGCTGCAGAGGCGAAAAAAAAAGAAAAAAAAAATCAGTTCAGGAATAACGTGCTTGATCTCACAGAAGGCATTTACACTACTGTGCACCACCAAACATTTGCCTTCAAAGGACCATTCCCCCCCCCCCCAGTCTAAGTCTTAGACAGTCTAAGGCCGTCCTCAGGTCGAACTTGCGACGAGCCAGAAAAGTCGACGACTGACTTTTCAGGATCAAATCGCACATGAACTACGCCCATCGGAAACATTTCCGTCGCCGATTTTTTGCGACGATATTAAGACAATCGATACCAGTAGGCGCAAAAACAAATCAACAGTCGCAAAAAAACATTCAATCACAGTGGACCTGTGTGAAGTTACGACGTTGTGCGTTGTTCCCAGTGCATTACATACCATGTGACTATATATTACCACACATTCTCTTGCCTCCATGTACAAACTGTTCACAAACAACGTCACAAATTGCTACAAACAATTATTGTCAACTGTATGATGTATTTTGTTTGCTTTTCGTGGACAGTTAAGATTTGGTACTTTTTTAAAGGACACTTAGAGAGTTTCTTTTTGGTCAATTTTGGGGGGGACCGACCGACAGACCGACCAACACCAAAGTGACTTAAAGAAGTTCTGTTGCCAGAGCTTAAAAATAGAAAGTGGGGCCTGGAACGCAAATAGTCTGGCCCCATTCAAGAGTTTACAACTTCTAAAATAGATTCAGGCAATATGATCGAAACAGCTTCTTGGTGAATAAGGTCTATTGTTAAGCTGCACCCATGTTGTCCATGATTTCAAACAGAGAGGAATTTGGGTCTGGTAGACGATAGAAAATTGGTCCATTTGTGAAAAGTGATGGTATACAGGGTGAGTAAGAAAAACCGAAACCCAAATGTCAGGACCATTGTTTTAGTGAAGTTCTGCATGTAGCACTTTCAAAATCTAGGATATGAAAGCCCAATTCATAAGCTTAAGTTTATGTCCACTGATCACAAAAAAGTTCAGTGTTCTTTCAACAAATCGAAAAAGAATCACATAAGGATGTGTGTGAATTGTTTTTGTTTTGCTGAAAGAACGCACACCTTTTTTGTGATCCGTGGACAGAGCTTTAAAAATGGTGGTTGTGTTTAAAACTCTGTAACTTGAAAAGTACATGAGTGATTTGAATGATGCTTGTACTCAAAGAAAGCTTATGAATTGGGCTTTCATATCCTAGATTTTGAAAGTGCTGCATGCAGAACTTCACTAAAACAATGGTCCCGGCATTTTTTTTTTTTTTTTTTTACTCAGCCTTTCGTCCGGTGTTGCATACTTCAACTCTTGTGTGTCCTTACCGACTAGTTTGTCATTAAGCAGTGCCAGTCCATCAATCATATCCCCCTCGCCTTCTTCCTCTTCGTCGTCTCCCTTGATAGCCTCGGCCAGACGAGCCTTGCTGGGCAGCAGAAACTCCACCGCATGAGGCCTGACAATACATCAATCCAAATATTAACTAGAGGTCCGCGTTTGTTGTTACAAATGCAGAGTGGTCGGGTAGACAACTATTTCATTAGACGTTGTCCAGTTAAGTTATGAATATGTTTATGTCATATGTTTTGATTTCAGGCTAATGTCTTCATTTTGAATTCACCTAACTTTGACCTTCGAGTAGAACCGGAAGTAAAGGTCAAGCGATTTCACGTACACAACAAAAAATGTTTATCAATTAATGGTTTATCTGATTACAAGGTTGGAACATAATTAATCATTTTGTTCAAGAGTTATATGTGAAAAAATAATCGTAATTTTTTTAACGAAAATCGCTTGTTAATTGACACCCGATAAGATAACGTCATAATGACGTCAGAGTAATATGCACCACTTTGGATGAAGGCCAATATATATTGAAAGTTACAAGTTTATATCATAAATCGTTTAAGAGAAAACCCGCGGAAACGTGTTGTATGGAAAAAAAAGAAACAAAGATTAATCATAACAGCTCTAAACAGTGGTCAGGTTTTGCCTGACCACTTACATAGACTCCTAAAAATGGTGTGTCAATATTTTGGGATTTTTTGGTTGGGGGTTGTGGTATCGGGGAAAAATATCTGTTCAAACCGAAATTGCTTTATTCCATAATTATTATGAGTTTATCAATAAGACATTTTACAGTGTAGACAAAAAGCCCACAATAAGCAATTGGATAATGTGCATCTATCTCAAAGGCAACGTCGCAATTTATAATCCAAAATGCTTACTTGGATTAAAGATTGTAATTGGGACTAAACACCCCGTGAAATTATTCTGTCTGGCTTGCTGTCATTTAGAAGAAATCAAGAAATGTAGGTGATTTCCAACGATCAGTCAATTGACTGATTTTTGCAATGAAGAGTTCTATTGATGAGATCGTGTTTCAAGATCAAACATTGTGCGTGGTTTTTCACTGTATTCTCAAAAAGTGTAATATCCGCTGAGCTGAAACTTCAACAGGTTAGGTTTTGAACATTCTTCGTTGGATCATGAGTGGTGTTAAGGCCAACAAAAAAATACTCGGTCTCTGGTCAGACCAAAGTTCCGGAATTGACGCGGCCACGCGGCTTTTTTTTTTTTTTTTTTTTCTTCAAGCTTGGATTGTACAGACAAGGTGGGGTACTATTTTGTTTTTTTGGTGTCCTCATGTACATTGGTGTCCTCCATAATTTGCCTTGGAGCTTTCGATCATTTGCTTTGGTGCAATTTCCCATTCCTTGGTGCTCTTTGGTAAAAAAAAATGAGGAGGTGCGGAAATAGGGGGCGCTGTTGGAGCTACCGCGGAACATTTTGGAAAAAAAAGAGATTGACCAGAGACCGACTTATTTTTTTTTTTTGCCTAATAGTGGAAATGACAAAACGGCGACCTACCTTCCTTTCTTGCCCACAGGCTGCTTGTTATCCGTCCTCCATCCGTAGCAACCGTTCTCGCATCCGGCCAAGATGAAGTCAGTCGAGGGCAGTGCAACGAGGCCCAGCACGCGACCGGGGGCTGCAAGGTGGTACAGCTTTCTGTAAATGCAAATAACTTGACATTAAAATATCTTGAACTGAAGATGTTCATACGGAGTGGATGCTAACTGTTTATATCCATTCTTCAAATACACCCAAAATGGAAAACTGACTAGGTACGTTATAAAAATATTAAAGTTGAACAAAGAAATTGACTGGAGCGGGGTTTGAACTTGTGACATTGCAGCATTAGCATCGTGACTTTGGGCGTGATCCCTGCCTACATGGCATATGACAGGTTTATGGCTTCTAATAAGCGCCCCTTGAACAAAGACAACGACTAAATCACGGAACCGCGAACATAGGGCTGGATAGCTCAGTTGGTAGAGCACCGACACAGCAATCAGGAGGTAGCAGATTCAAACCCCATTCCAGTCAATATCTTTGTTGTGATTTCTGAATATGTGTTGATATGAGACACCAACCATTCCAATTTGTCACCTTACTTACTTTGTTTTACATTTGTACTCGGGTCCCTCAGGTATGCCAATGTCCCAGATGATGATGTCTTCTGATCCGCCTGAACACAGAGAAATAATCATGAAAACCATTAGTATCAACATGAATGATTTTTGTCTTCGGATCCACCTGAACACAAAGAAATAATTATGACAGTTATTAGTTCCAAAATGAATAATTGTAATTTTCTGGGCTGAGGTAGGACCGGTGCTCATCGTCTAACAACGATAACTTATTCATTATTGGGATTTTCCCTTCGCCAACCACAGCAAGCTCAGTGGTCGAGTAGTCTGCAATAATAAGCAAGAACGGGGGTTAGAGTCCCACCCGAGTTAGCTTGTGCATTTTTCTTGCAAGCCCTGGGACAACACTGAGTTTACAATTTTTACAAAATACGTTGGTGAAGGGCAAAATCCAGTATTGTAAGCAAATTTCACATGAAAGCCAGTTTCACATGTCACCAAATTTCACGTAAAAATTTCACATAATTAAATGTCATGTGTAAGTAAATTTCATATGTAAGGAAATTTCATGTGTAAGCTAATTTCACACATAAGCGCATTTCACATGTAAGCAAATTTCATAAGTAAGCAAATTCCACATGTCAGCAATTTTCACGTGTGAGCAAATTTCACATGTGCGCAAATTTCACATGTAAGCAAATTTCACATTTGCGCAAATTTTACGCGTAAGCAAGTTTCACATGTACACAAGTTTCACATGTAAGCATACTTCACATGCAAGCAAATTTCATGTGCAAGCATTTTTCACATACAAGCAAATTTCACGTGTCAGCAAATTTCACGTGTCAGCATATTTCACATGTCAGCAAATTTCACATGCAAGCAAATTTCACGTGTCAGCAAATTTCACGTGTCAGCAAATTTCACGTGTCGGCAAATTTCACATGTAAGCAAACGTTAATGACAACTACTCACACAGCAGCCATGTAGAATGTTCCGGGTGGAACAGCAGTGAGTTGATGGGCCTGGGCCGACGGTCTCCTTTGATCTCAGAGTAGCACAGCAGCTGGTTAGTGTGGAGCAGCTTGACACTGCCCCGCGTCCCCGCCACGGCTAGGATGTTGACGTTGCTAGCGTTACCCTCCTCTAGCTCCATGGGGATGGTTGTCCAGGAAACGCAGTAGAACTCCTGTGGGATGAGCCATGAAACAGCAATCAGTTGGGTTTTTATTTTGTTTTACTTTTTTAATTTTGTTTTAATAAAAGACACAAGCCAAGTTGATAATAAGAATTTTTAAAACTCCAACACACTTACGGAAGAATCTAAACACTGGTACCCAACTGTTATGATTTGTATATTATTTCAGGTCAATCCAGTCAGTAAGAATATTAGAATGCCCTGGTCCAGCGTTACGGTATTTGACTCATATACAATGATGCGTGGGTTCGAAACCTGCCAGGAACATAGTGTTCGTGCCCTTGGGCAAGACACTTAAAAACTATTGCCTCTCTCCACCCAGGAGTATGAATGGGTACCTGTGAGGGTAGAGGCCGAACGTACGTAGATATCAGCTGCCGCGTGGTCTCGTGGCCTGATGAACGGGGTAATAATTGTGAACGCTTTGCGATCGTTGATACGATGGAAAGCGCTAACAACTATTATTAGTAAGCAGTTTGCAATAAACTAGAACCTCATCCAAAAGAATAAACTTTTATTTGCATGTTTTTTTTCCATTTATCAAGCTGACCTCTTTGTCCTTGGCATGTTGGTACTTCTTGAGCACCTTGCCGGTGCTGCAGTCTGTGATGCACACCGTGTTGCCTCCGCATGAAGCAACCGTCCACTTACTGGTTCCTGTACAATGACACACAAGCAACAATCTAGTAACAAAGTAGAACGCACTCAGAGAGCGCACACCTCCGCCTAGGGTAAACAATTTCCCGCCATTACACACAGCACCAATGCACAAATGTGGTTTCTAAAACAAATCATTGAACTCAAAACATTTTGTAGTTTACATGTAAATGCATGCGTTGGTCTACCTTTCTACCCTCCATTGTATAAAATGGTCTAATCCATTGACCTGTGTGGTAAGATTAGGTGGGTGACAAGGCATACACCAAGCTGGTCACACAGGGTGAAAGTTTTCCATACGATAGATGAAAAATCCTGAAAAAAAATTCCTGCATCCAGACGCAGATCATTTCCAAAATCTAATCGATTTGTGCTTGTACCAAGGACCACCCCTAGAAAAACTTTCATGAAATCGGCCCACATCTTTTAGAGTTCTCTTGTTAACAGACAAGATAACATAACCTCCTTGGCGGAGGTAACAATGTAAAAAAAAAATTGCTACATGTATGTGCATTGTTCAGGCTTTCAAGCCGACCCAGGTGAAAAAGTAGGATCAAAATTTAAACAAAAAAAGGACAAAAGTACGACTTTAGAGGACAAAATCAGGATAAAAGTAGGACTTTTGTGGGCTTTCAGGAGTAGTTGATAATCGCACATATCCACAGCATCATGAGCCTCATTTGGCATGTTCTGTACTCATAACACTTGTGCTCCATCCTCAACTAAGCTCTTGGAAGTACAGTTGCAGTACTCCTGCGCCCAAACCCTTCATTGTGTGATTTACATATGACAGTGTGTAACACTGTTATGAAAAATACATTCAATGAGATTTCATTTTTCGAAGTTGTAGGACAAAAAAGTAGGAATTTCAAGAAAAGAGTACAAAAACCCTAGGGAAAAGTAAAGTAGGAATACTTGAAAGCCCGATTGTTTTACAATTCTGAAATTCAATTTTGTGACTGCAAGATTCAAATATTCAATTGCACAAAGAAATTGAACAGGGTGAGAATTGAACAAGTGCCCTCCGGAAGTACGGACGTTCTACCAACTGAGCTTTCAAACCCAAGATTATCAGTAAATACCAACTTTGCCAATACCTTTTAAGAATGCAGCTTGCCAGTATTAAACCATTGCTATGACGTCACACTATTGTTCAAAGTGTGGATTCGGATCTACAAATCTGTTACGCTGGTCACAAAGTGTGGATTCGGAACGAAGAATCTTTAGTAAAGTGTGGTTTCAGAATTACGAATCCAAACTTTGAACATGTCGGACAATTGTTCTCCATAATGAGCATTAATAGGACTGTCTGCATTAAAACTTTCTTTCCGTAATTACCAATGCATCTTCACTGTCAGATTCATTCTTCACTTCAAAAAACTAGTCAGAAAGAAATCCTCATCTGAACTATCCATGTTGATGTAAGGAGCCTACACACAAAATGATTTCGTTGTACGAGTGTGGTGATACACATGCTAAACACGCAACAATGCTTGATTACGTATAAGAGCCTCGAAAAATTCGACACGAGATATGCAAGTCTTTTCATCTCCACTTACTGGACTGTTAATGCCAATACTTCTTTTGACGCAATGGTTTAAGTCGGAGAATACACTCGCAAGTGTGGATTCTTAATTTACGAATTCACTCCGCGCTTCGCGCCTCGTGAATTCTTAAACTACAAATCCACACTTTCTTGTGTATTCTCCTCAATATCATCAATCATATGCACTGACCTGGTTTTTCTAGGCTGGGCTCAAATGAACACTTCCAGACATTGGTCTTAGCGTCCGTGGGGTCATTCTCCATGGAATGGCAGCGTAGCATGTGGATCACCTCGTAACCGCTCGAGACTTTCTGTATTTGAATAAAAAAACAAAACCACAAGAAACACTATAAGTTTGGTGGAATTTCGAAGAATCACGGCAAATATTCACAAGTCTAGCTACTCGAGAAAGAAAAGTTTTCAATTCTGGCATAATCCCACAAAATATTTTCAGCCATATAATATTTTCCCGAATCCTTTTTTGTGGGGGGGGGGGGGGGGGGGAGTTTTATTGTAAATTTATAAGAGCTCTATGAGATTTCTGTGATATACCTCGTGTAAAATTAGTTTTTCAAATGAAGTTTGGAGTAACATGGTCCTCTTTATTATAAGCCCATGCCATCTTGACACACTTTACAAACTTTGTGAATATTATTCTTTTGTAACTTTGGGAACGGTGATAAAACACAATTGGGACATTAATCCCACTGACAAATAATCCTAACCCTCCAGGATATTCTGGTTAAAAAACCTGGCTAAACGCAGCAACATGCAACACTTGGCTATGTGACAAGCCTGCCCAGTGTAGCAAGATCCATCAGCTCAAAAGCCTCGAGGCCAAAACTGCCTCAGAGTCTGTGGTCCTCGAACGCAGCAGGATACAACTGTGGCATTGTTCAATGGGACTAGCTCTCATTGTCTCAGAATTGGCCGTTTATGCACTCCAGTGTTGATGGCTCAATGCAGCGAGGTTCCACAGACTTTTACACCAGATGCTCTGTGCTGCATCTGGCAGCAACACCAAAAGTGTTGCAAATTCGAACAAAACTAAATTGTGTATTGTGTTTTTATTTAAGTGAGCCTACACTTTGCCTTAATTAACCCTAACTCCCTAGCGTCTTTTACTAGGAACTGGACCAAGTTCCATCAAAATCCATCAATCATTGTGCTTCCAATACAAAACTGTACATGACATAATGGAATCCACCACTGACACACTGGTTGACATTCGTGGACTTGCTACACATGGCTTTTATCACAATAGCAGTACAGGAAGCTAGGCAAAATCAATCGGATACCCCTAGCACTGCTTCAGGCCATTAGGCCCAAGTCCATCATACTCCATCAATATTTAGCCCCGCCAGGCCTCCTGTACCAAGTCCACCAAAATGGAGGGATGGATTTTGATGGAGTTGGGGTGGTTAGGGATAAGAAACAAATTTGTGCACCTTGTCTTTCTTGCCTGTACTATTCACCACTGATGATTTGGTAGGTGTTGATTTGGCAGGTGTTACTTTAGGTTTCGGCGCTGTGTCTGTCTTCTCTTTCTTGGTGTACTTCCCTCCGGTGCCCGCCGGCCTTCCTCGCCTCCTCTTGACCGGCGCATCTTCCTCCTTGATCTTCTTCGGACTTGGCTCCTCCCCGTTCGTGGCGCCGGCATCCTGCGGGACGGGCCTCTTGACGACGATGACTTTGACCGGGCCCTTGATGGGCGTCTTCAGAGGCGACTTGCTTGGAGTTTGGGCGGCAGGCGACTTGTTAGCCGAGGCGGGGGATTGGTTCCCGGCTGGGGACTTCTTGGGCGTGGTGAGCTTGGTGGGCGTGGCAGGCTTGCCGGGCGTGGCAGGTGTGTCTGCCGGCGCTTCGGGTTTCCCGTCCTCTTCCATGGGCGTTTCTTCATCCTGGTCTGGTTTCGGGGCCTGGGCTACCTTGCCCATGACCGCTGCCTCTAGACTTGCCGCCAGTGAGTTGGCCTCATCCGATGCCCCTTTCTCTTTCTCCATGGGGGCGGGGCTGGTGCTCGCCGGCGATTCCTCTTTGACCGGGAGCTTGATGCTGACCTTGTTGCCGGACGCCGGAGTCTGGCCGCCAGTCGTCGAGCCCTGGATCAGCTCGGGGACGGTCTTGCGCCAGTAGGCTGTCTGGGTGGCCACGTGCTTTTCGGCAAGAACTGTCAGCTGTCAAGAGAGAAAAAAGGGTCAACAAACGGTCAAGATTACTTAATTCTAGATGACAAGGCTGTGACAAAGGTTTGAAATAGAAAATGTGTTAAGGCAAAAATTTTCAGTCGACTTCTGATATACAGCCAAACGCCACAAATACTGATTTCCCAAGAGTCATTTCAACAGCATTTGTGCAGTATTTGTTGTCGAAACCTTATATATTTCAATACTCCGGTGTGCACTGGAACGTAAAATGTCGAACAATAGGTTGTGCCCAACGGCCGATTCAAGATCAACACACGGTCCGCCTCCACAGACTTCACAGACTCTGTGTGTGTACAAAAGGCACAAGGGATTAGCGTGTTTAGATATCACACGGAGGCGAGCCGAGGCAATTTTGACCTTTTAATGACATTTTAACCAGTCAGCCATGCGTGCGTATAAAAACAGCTAGTGCATGTTATCACAGTCTTTGACGCGAGCTGGTTAAGTCCTACATTTCAGACAGTATGCGCGCTGTCATTAGGAGATGAGGCAGAGAGGCCAAGCCTTACCATGTGATGGGTGAACTCCACCAGTGAGCTGGGTCCGTACTGGATGCAGTCCTTGAGACGTTGGACAAACTCTTGCTCCAGGGCCCTGGTCTCGGCCTTGTTGAGAGGCATCTCGTTGCGGGCCGCAAACTCCTCCTCCCAGATCTTGAGCAGCTACAAAACACAGCAGAAATAAAAATGATAAAGTAACTCTTTTCCCCCTACTTTGAGGCCTGCAGAGTTATAATTCAAGCCAGAGATTCCCAAACTGACTTCTAATTTACAGAAGACTAATTGAAATAAGGTGTGCATCGGAACTAGGTACCGAAGTACCCAACCGTTAATGCTGGGAGACGGTTCCAGATCATGGGATCAGGCACCCGTTACCAAATTTATAAATTACTTAGCAACTTCTCGGAAAATGAAACGGAAAGGTTTTAAAAGTCATTTGTGAGGAAATGTCAAAATAAATAAGACATTTTTAATTGTTATGACACTTGCAAAAGTTTACACCGTCAAGCTATAAAGCTCACTGTACACACTTGTATCTTGATGCATTGACAAACCAAAAATAGAAGTATTATCGTGTCGGGAGCTTTATGAATAATCTGAACTTCAACTTCCAAGATGTAGTAGTATTATCATGTGGACCTTTATGAACAATCTAAACAGCAACTTCCGAGATTTCAATGTTGGGGTTAGGTTTACCTAACCTTAGGGTACCTGTGTTTTTTTTTTTTCAATCGGGTACCCCATTTCTGTACTACCCGTAAATGCACACCTCTTAGTAGATTAGATTCTACATTCCTACGTGAGATTTCTCCCTGGTTGCGTACTTTATCGCTCCCAGATAGTCTCACCTTTTCTTTGAGTACATCTTCCATGGTCTGAATGGTGTCTCTGATGTCCACGTCTTTACCGTTCAGTTTCTTGAGTTTTGGCAGCAGGTAGACGGCAATGTACTGATCAGGAGGCTGCACAGGGAACAAATTACACCACGACCCATCAGTTTATGGTACAAAAAATGACAAAACATGTAACCATACGTGTGCTTCTCTCAAAATTGAATGATTCACTATTGTTTTATTATTGGCCTTTCAAGGTTGAAATTTTGAAGAACGGTTCATTAACCAAAACCTTCCCAAATCCTTCAAAATCTTTTTTGCAAAATGGTGAATTTTGCAGGATTGAGGCTATATGGCAAATATTTGTCTGATTTTGGAGGATGCACTGTGTCATGGTCTTGGGCCGGACCCTGTGTTGTTTATGCTCAACCGTACATAAATTTAGGCCAAATTATACTGCTCAGGATGTCACTGGCACTCAACATATTGACAGTGATTGCAGGAGGATTTTGCAGGATTGAGGCAGAGGTCACCCCTCCAAGGACCACATTCAAGCAATAACAGATGATTCTGGAGGATTCAGGCTGCATGCAATTTGTGCATGGAGACAGTTGGAGGATTTTGCAGGATTGAGGTTGCATCATGGCCAAAATGCCTAGGAAGTAAGGGTTAACCCCAACAGAACTCAATTTGCCAGGATGGGTATGGTTAGGGTTAATGTGATTCTTGGCGGGGTGACCACTGCCTCAATCCTGCAAAATCCTCCAGCAATCACTGTCAATATGTTGAGGCAGAGCCAGTGACATTCTGGAGCAGTGCGGTGGACTTCATTTATAATCTAGGCCTAAATTTATGCCCTGCTGAGAATAAACAATGCAGGGTCCGGCCCAAGACCTTGACACAGTGCATTGCCATGTAGCCTCAAGAAGATTTGGGAGGATTTGGGAGGGTTAAGGATAATATGTTTACGTACATTTGCATAAAATGGGGAGTCACAAAATAGCTTGTGTAGGGTGCTTTTGACACACCATATTACAGGGTGTTCAGAAGACAGCGAACGCCCTTCTGGCTACAACCTCGCCCTTACGTTTAAGTCATTCTCCTCAATGTTCAGCTCTTCGAGATTGGAAAACTGTTCCAGGGTCAGTACGCTCTTCAGGCCGTTCTTCTTCATGTTCAAATATCGCAGTTTCTTCAGTCCAACTTGGGTATCAAAACCCTGGGGGGGGGGGAAATAAAAAAAAGAATTTTAATGTGATGTTTGAATTTGACAATTTCAAAGTCTTTTTGTTTTCTCTTTTTTATACAAAATAAAGGAAAGATTGTCAGAATAAGGAATGTGCTTTACAGCTATGGGATCGTACCGCTGGGAACGGGGTTGCATTTAAAGTGACTGACTCTAAAAGGGTAGCATGGTTCCCAAAAGAACCAAAAGTATTAAAGTAATAGAGAGAGAATTGTGGTTCTGAGAAGAACATTTCTTATGAAATATCCAAAGAATTCCCCTTAGAAAATATGAAAATGTAATAATCAGTTTTAAGGTAAACATGAACTGCCAGTGACTATTCATTTGTTAACACTGAGATTGATATGTGTCTGTCGGTCAGACGGCGCATTACCTTGATTTTGTTGAAGGACAGGTCAAGTTCCTCTAGGTCAGGCATGCGGGAGAACACTGCCGGGTCCAGGTTCATGATCTTACGGCCGGACATATCCAGGACTCGGATGTCTGAGAGCGAGATGCAGCCGGCGCAGTTGAGTACCAGCTGCTCCACCAGCTGGCTGCTGTTGGAGTACTTACCGGCCAGGGCGGACATGATACCTGGGGTGTAGCGCATGATGCCCGTCGTGGTGTGAACCGCCGTGTAAGAGGTAATCTTAGGTGGGGAGATCGGGGGCGGGGCCTGCTGGGGGTTGTAGGAGGGCACGCTGGAAGGGGGCTCCAAGGTAGGCATGGCATTCTGGGCTTGGGTTGGGTCGACTTGGGCCTCGGCCACCTGCTCAGGAACTGGTTCCACTGGTTCTCCTGGTTCGCCTTCAGGAACCTGTTCGGCGAGGGGTTGAGGCTCTTGCGGGACGGCTTCAGTCTGGGCTGCATCGCCAGCATCCAGGACCATCTGGGGGGCAGCTTCATCTTGGACCAGCTCCTGGGCGGGTTGAGCAGGCTCAGCTTCCGGTTGGAGGACAGGGGCGCCGTCGGCTGGGGTCTCTGGGAGGAGCTCTGGGGGAATGTTGTCCGCCTTGATGTAAGCGACCTGGTCCTGTGACACGGGGACGGCTTCCGTCTGGGGGACACACTCAGACTGCAGAACAGGAACGGCACCATCAGCCGGGATTTCAGGGATGAGCTCTGAGGGTTCCTGGGATACAGGCTCGGCCTGGAGCTGTTGAGCAGGTTCCATGCTGGGCACGGGAGCTGGTTCTGGGATCGGAGGCTCCGCCTCGAGAACCGGGGCAGACTCCTCAGCTTGGGGTACAAGGATGGGTTCAGTTGGTGCTAGCTCAGTTTGACCATTATTGCTATCCGCCATCTTTGGAGCTGGACAAAGAAAACAAAAAAATGAAACTACAGACCAATATCATAATTGTCAAATGCTAATTTGGTTCATATATAAATTGTTTCTTCATATATAACGATGTCAGACAGATTTTACTTAAACATTGTTATAAAGGTTAAAAAACCAGTCTACTAAAACAATTCTTTTTTAATAATTTTAAGCGAAACTAAAGTAAAAATTTCCTCTGTAACAACTGTTAATTTACAATGAAACATTACCTGCACTTCATATGCCTTTGCACTTTGCAGGTACAGAAATAATTAAAGATACACTTCACTAGGTTGAGATGTTCTGAAGTAATGTTATTGGTAAAATTTAAGTAAATGGATTATGTGAAAATTTATTGGGAAAAATATCCAGTGTCAACTTGAACTTAGAAGATAAGGTCAAGTAAAAAAAACCCCAACATTTTCTCGTCCCCGCTTGCTTCCTTTTTTTTAATTCCATACATTTGCAATTTATTTTGCAAGTTTTGTCAATATTGCTCTTTTTATTTCGATTAAAAATTGTTGAAACCTGTTGCCACTTTTTGCTTCGTATCATCTCAATAAAGGTCAGTCCTTGCAAAAATGATTAGACATGAATCTGGGACTGAGAAACATTTCCAATTTTGTTAGGAAATACTTAGGAAAATTTTTTCTTGAATCTCCATAGACTTTGTACACAACCGCTGAAGTGGCGTCAGGTTGCAACATTTTTTCCATCTGCCATGTCTGCCATCCTGGAAGAAAAAGTGTGGGGGGGCTGTCTCATTTTTGTTAAAAAACCTGGACGAGAAAGTCTCTTTTTGGCATTCACACTAAAATCATAATAGGGCCTATTTCAAAACCTAAAAATATCAATTTTTACTGCTTTTGCATAATTAAGTGCTAATACAATGACATAAATCATAAGAATTTGATATGGCAAAAAGTGCATGTGGTTGGTCTTAAAAGTTTTGACAAACCAATCCAAACATGCATGCAGTGCACAACATGTACAAACAGCGCCCTCTACAGACGGAAACGATTGTAAAAATGGCATGACAATTTGGGCAAAACACAAGTCAGTTTTCACATTAAAAAAGCGAAGGCTGGTTTGTGCCGCTGCACGAAAACGTCAAAGGAGTAATTAAAAAGCCTTCTGAAGTCCACATCGAATATTTCTTTGGATTTTAACAGCATCTGAAGGCGATTTTGAATCCTGGAAAAAAATTATGGCGGGCCGAGACGCGCCCCTGGTCCCGAAAAAAAATGTCGGGCAAATTTGAGCAGAAATGACGCGTCTGGCATTCGCGTTTTACTGCATTAAATTCGATTTGCTGTCACTTTGTAAGGTCTAAAATCTGATACTTACATATTTGTTAGCGATCTGTTACATTTATGGCAGCTAATGACAGCTGATCTTGCAGAAAACCCAAACTTTCAGAAGGCAATCTGTTCAAGAAAAAGTCGGGAGAGTGTGAACGCCGCGTCGCTTCACAAAAGAGAAAAAAAGAAGTGTGAGGGCGCTCTAAATCATTGAAAAGCGCCCTCTTTGAGACCATCCCATAATTTGGGCGATAAAACGCCCGAATGTGAGATTTGGGCTACTTGACCGTCTTATTAACGACAGTGTTTTTTGCGGAAGGATTTGGGCTACATGCATAAACGAATGCTAGGTGGTTTAGTCCTCGCTAACTGCTCTCCATTATCTTGAAATAGTATGGGAGAATATGAGGGAACATGCGGTTGCAAGGGCATTAGAACATGTTTAATATGTGAACAGCAACAACATAAAACTCTCATTCCAAGGAACTTTACCAGCGCAGAACAGGTACAATTACAAAACCGAGGGCAAGTTGAAGTGCAGGGGCCGGGAGGCCTCGAGGGGGGGGGGGGGGGGGGGGGGGGGGGGGGGGGGGGGTAGTGGGGCATGTGGGGAGGGGGGAACCCCCCCCTCCCCCGTGATGTTTATGAGATTCCTGGCTGGTGGTCTCATGGAATATTTTAAAAGAAGTAACAAAGAGTTTGCTAAAATGTAAAAAATTAAGTTCGTAACTAAATTGAAAATGTTTCCGCTCCTCCTCTTGTGTTGATATTGATAATGATATTTTTGTTGACCATTGAACAGTTGTATGGGAATGTGTCAGTTGTCAAGCATACATCATTCAATAAAACAATTTTGAGAAACTAAAAAACAATAAGTGTAAAGGTGTTTCACGGTAATCATGGTAATATGCGCCATCTTGTTCAAGGGGCAAAAAGAACATGCATTGCTAGATGCGGGCGCATTTTGGAATGACTGCATGATGAATTGGAAACGCCAAAGTTTTCCATTGACGATGGGTACACAGCAATGCGTATAAAATTGCCCTGCGGGCAAGATAGCGCGTATTACTGTAAAACAGCTTATTGATCTGTGTACTTCAGTCACTGTAGGAATTAAAAACCCTGTGTTGCAATTCTGTAACTGTAGCTGTTGAAAATTGCGTAAACAATCTGTAACAATAGCCACTAGATTTTTTTTTTAAATTGAACAAAACAGGCAGGTGTACTGTTTTCTTTGCCATTTATGAACTGTGGCGTCTTTGTGAAAGTGCTTCGGAATATGAAGATGTACTACCAATCATCACAAAGTTTGTCATTTCTTTAAAAAAGAAATGTTTACTTTTTCTTGTTGAATGTATTTAACAGGAGTCGTGGGAGTCGTACTGCTACTGTTGGAGGTGCAACACAGCATGGGGACCTAGGCATACAGACGATTTCGCCAACCCGCCCATCACTGAGCTGACGGCATGTGACCACACGGGGAGAGCGTTAGAATTCCCGGGAGTTACTGTCGTGCCGGAGTTTGTTTCCAAGGAGGAGGAGGCAGAACTTGTGAGGACCATTGATGCGTCGCCATGGAAACCGTCCCAATCTGGGAGAGTTAAACAGGTCTCTGACTCACTAAAATTACTTTTTTTGTACTCGTGACCTCAAATTGACTTGCAAAAGATAACCCTCACCTTTCGCACATTCTGGAAGCCCAATAATAATAATATGAAATTTGATATTTATAGGAAAGACATAATTTGTGTGTTTCAAAAATGGCAGTGAAAAGATTGGGCTACCTTTGTAAGAACTTGTTCAAAAAAATGTTGTGGTTTTTCAAGCAGTGTGCAACTATGCAGCTAAGTTAGAGGATGTTCTTATTTTTTATAACAGCTCAAGCAACATAAAGATAAACACATTTCATTTTCAAAGTGATAGCAATTTAGGGTGAATAATGCTATTGCAGCAAAAAGTGCACTTAAGAAACTTTGTTTACTTCAAAGCTGATTATCTATTGAATTTGAGGATGGCCTATTTGAATCTTGGACATCTTAGTTTGTGAATACTTTATCAGAACAAATGACCTTAATATTTTGGTTTGTAATCTCCTGCAGGACTATGGCCCCAAAGTAAACTTTAAACGGAGGAAGCTCAAAACGGCGGGTTTCACTGGCCTGCCATCGTTCATCAAGCCCTTCGTTGAGCGGATGAACGAACACGAGAGCCTGAGTGACTTCATACCCGTCGAGCAGTGCAATCTGGACTACCGACCCGAGAGGGGGTCGGCCATTGACCCCCACCTAGATGACAGTTGGCTGTGGGGCGAGCGACTCGTCACCATCAACTTGATCTCGGGGACCTATTTAGACATGACCCCTATTCAGAGCCCAGGGAACGAGGATACCCGGACTACACCGGTATCTGTTAGGATCCCACTTCCGCCGCGGAGCTTGCTTGTCCTGTCGGGTCCTGCTAGGCACCAGTGGAATCATGGGATACGGAGGGAGGCTATCGTGTCCCGACGCATCGCCGTGACACTCAGGGAGCTGACCGGGGAGTTTTTGGTGGGCGGGGCCCAGGAGGATATTGGAAGGGAGGTGCTGTCTGTTGCCAAAATGTTCACAGGGACTGTGGTTCCTTAAGCAGTGTTGTTATTCGGAAGACATCGTGATGGGTTTGTAAAATATAATTCATGATTTAGGTTTCTGGGGGCATGACATTTTTTAAAAATTCGAATTAAGAAATACGTGAATGATTGATAATACATGAACTGAAAATCAAACTGAAAATTCTGGACCTGAATTTATTTACAAAGGAAGAAAAATACAAATTTTTCTTAATCCCAAGATTTACACCTCAAAAGTTGTACATATTTACAGGATTTTTTTATACAAAGCTCTTTTACTGAAATAATATAATAGATGTGGCATTTGCTTATTAACTCTAAAATTGGCCTTGGTGAAAATTAAAATTGTACACATTTGTCGAATGGATACATTTGCATGTTGTACATTCTTTTTGGTAGCATGCTTATGGTAAAAAGCTTTAGTACTTGGAAAATATTGTACTTGAGCGAGACTGCAAGACATTGGTGGAATATAGACTACTTCATCATGACAGCACTATAACATCACTATAGAACACAAGCATTTGTTACAAAAAACAATTTCTTGAATGGTTCAGCATGATGTTTCACACTGAGTGAAAACAAAATTGGATCCATTTAAAGCTAACCATTTGCCTCCATGCCCCCCCCCACCAAAAAAAATCTAGTCAAGTATTTGGAACTGAGTATGGGGCATGGTGGCTTCACTGCATGGTTACCCAAAGCTGCGTGCATCTTAAAGCACAACGAGGAGGCCAGACTAAATTTGACAATCGTTTGACTAAAGGCCTTTGCGCAGGCTTAAGTTACGTCACAAACCAACCACTAGACGACTAATGGGCCTCAACCTAACTTGATCTGTGATGAAGCAACATTTAATGAATCAATCTTTCAGGTCAGTTAAGACTTGGAGTGAAGTTTCCTTACGTCAGCTTAAACCTTGGATGTGGAATCCCCTTTAAATTTTATATACAATTCCCATTATGTGATGTGATCAAGCTACATGAGTCGTTTGTCGACCCTGGTCAAATGTTTTTATTACAGATTTGAAAAGAGCACAATCTCAGCATTACTGCTGTGAAAACCGCATGCTGATACCATCTTTAGTTCGAAAGTTATGGAAGTTGGAACACCAAGAGATATGATGAAGTGATGTGATGAAGTGGCCCTATTTTGGCCTGTATCTCCAAATACAAATTCCCGACAAACGACTCATTTAGCTTGATCGCATCACATATATTGCTCAAGGCCTACGGACTCTGTGCACAAGTACCCCCTTGACAATTACAAAGGGAGAGTTGGGGGAGACCACTGGGAGAGACACTTGAATGCATTGCCAACGACGACTGACACTCATACAATTACGCTGTGGCTTTGTGCACATTCAGAGTAAAATAAGATGTGCGTACTCCGCAACATACGTTTACAAAACAGTACGCGCATGCAGTGTGTTCCGTCCATGGCCTATCGAAAGTGGTAAAAATGCACCAACTCTTGTTTGACTAAACTCCCGAGGACAATGCTTTGTGTTTTCCTTTGTCCCTGTAAAATAACACTCTCCCATAGACTAAGCACACAAACCTACCACAGAGGACCTTTTTTAACAAAAGACCAAGGACTGAAAGGATCTGTTGTTCTCCCTTTGTGTGTCTGTCCTCGGGGGTCATGTAGAACAGGTACACCCTGTCTTGTTCATGCACAGAGCCCTAACCATATAGAATTAAATTTAACAAAATGATGCCAGTACTTGAATAAATACAAAAATCTCCAAAGGATTTAGAAGTTTGGGTCACTGATGTCTGTGAGGGTCTCCCCGAAGACGGTTTTCTCCCATTTGGAGAGCTGGTGGACGAACGAGCGGTGGGGACGGATGTTGCTCTTGCAACCGGCAAGGTGTTTGTGGGCTTCCTACATGAATGGAATGACACCAAAACAACAACGCATATTAAATTAAACTTGGAAGATTTAGAATTTAGTCCTTCCTTAGGAATAAGATGGATGAGGGTGGGTTGGGTTGGGAGGGGGGAAATGTATACATCGCATGTTTGGATTGTTCTCACACATTAGTATTACGAACTGCAGGACACTTAAACTTACTATGCATTTTCAGAAACAAAAACAAATTTCTGAAATCTTTCCGAAATTAGGATTTGTCAACACGTAGCCAGATCAATATTTATTTGTTAAGACAAGAATTGTGCCATGCATTACCTTTAATGGCCATTTGTAGAACACCATGAGATAGGCCAACACCACGCAGACACTGCGGCTGAGGCCGTGATCACTGCAGACCAGGGCAGCCTGCTCTGAACCTATAATACCACCTGCAGAAGACAAGGGAGAACCAAATATCAACAAAAAACAAATGCAATCTGAGGGAGTACAACTTGGGTGAAGTATTAACATGTACCATGTGAGGTGACAATCTATGAACAAGAGGTGGTTTTGAGAATACCAAGGGATCTGAATATTTTGGTCATGTGCTTACTCAAGGTTCATGCTCTAATGTTAACATTTCTGCTTCTTCTCAAAACCGCCCTCTCTTTTAGAGATAGGCGCTTTACACGGTATATCTGCAAATTTCTCACATCTTAAAGAAACCACTGGGATTTTAAGTAACTTACTTTTCTATTGCACAGTATGTTAGGTGTTAGGTATTGGATCTGAATGTGACAGAGCCTGATATTTGCCAGGTACATGATATGAAAGTGTATGTGGGCTATTCTGGGTACATGATCTTAAAAGTATGTGATACATCATGAGATAAACTGGGTACACAAGGTCTGACAAATATGGATATATACAAGGTGTAGAATATGTGAGGCGTTCTGGCAAAATGAGATGGAACTGGGCATGGGCCATAGTGGAGAAAAATGAAACAAAAAAGGGGTTGATTTATTACGATTTTCAGATTTATTGATATTTATCACCTTTGATATGTCTATTACACAAAGAAATAGTGTAAACATCGTGGAATAAACTGTTTTTAAGGAAAACCAATTGACGTCTTCTTTCATTTGCACAACTACAAAACTCAAAACATTAAAGGCTGTTTTACTTTTTGAAATGTCAATAAGTGCAAACTTTAAATAGCCATAACTTGTCAACTGAATGCCTGATTGAAGTGCAGCAAACAGTATTGTACGGAGAATTTTATTCTCATTCCTAATACCAGCAAACCCTTATTTCGACCTCTGCCCAGTTGTGTCTCATTTTGCCAGAATGCCTCACATATGTGAAAGTGGGAGGCAGACTGTGGAATAAACTGGGTACAAAACCCAGGACGGCTTGCACAGAGATGGACTGAACGGGTTCAATACTTTACACAAGAACACTACCTTACCAAGGAATTGACAGGCTGGGTTCAAGTGAGGGTCCAGGTCTCCATCCTCATCATCTGTGACTGGAATGTGAAGCAGCTGATCACTGCTCAGCTCATTGTTTCTAGAAAACAATGTTAAACACACCAATTAGCAAACAGGCTAAAAAGTGGTGACACTCTTGTAAACAGAACCAAAAAGCAAAAAAAAGTGACGAATGTCTTCCGCCTGTTAAGAGTGGACACACTAGATGACACACAGGCACATATATTACAACAATGAGAGTAAAAGACAAGCGAATGGAAGCATCTCATCTGAGACAAATGCGACCTGTCACCACAGAATGAGCGTGAAGTCGGTCATTGCCATTTTGCAGAACAGTGGGGCAAAGCCAAAAATTGAAGGGGTGGTCCATATTTTTGTTTTTGTGTGAACCTCAATCTGTAAGTCCTGTTCTTCCTTTCCCCAATTTTTGTTGTACTGTCAGACATACTTTCAAACCAATTTTCATTCTGTTTTGTTATTTGATCGTTCGTTCACTGTAATACAAGAGAAGGTTAAAACGGTCATTTTCTCAAAAATTAGTTGAACAACTTCAATTTAGTTGGCGGTCTATGTTTCTGTTACCGCAATCAGTACCCCCAAATGTTATATACCATTAGAAACCTCCTGTTCTGCAGAATCCAGAAATAAAAATATCTCTATTTTTAAAAAGTCCAACTTTATGCTCCTTTTGTGGTGACACAAATACATCCAGGAGTCAGGTCTGTGCATTGGGTCTTTCTTCATCTTCCACCACTTTGAACTGTGTTTGAATCCCATCAGGCCTACATGTGAGTTAGTGGATTTTAAGTCCCTAACTGATTCCATGGGTTCCAACTGATTCCATGGGATCCAACTGATTTTATTGGGCTCCAAATGATATTGACTCCATGGGTCCCAACTGATTCCATGGGTTCCAACTGATTCCATGGGCTCCAAGGATTTTTATCTGGGCTTTCCTTCTGCCTATAAAACTGTACAATTCTTAATCATCTCCCCTGTACAAGTTTCTTCAGACTTGGCAGCAATATAGTGCATTGGGTGCCTTTGTGGAATCTTTGGTTTAATCACCAGAAATTATAAATAATAGTAATAACCCAAAAGAAGAATGTTCCTTACAGTTCAGTGGGCTCGGCCGACAGGCACACCACCCCCTTGATCTTGAGGTCCTTCCTGACGTCCGCCCGGCAGGCCTGCTGGCAGTCCCCCAGGTACAGCCTCCCCGGCAGCACCTCCATGGGGTAGGGCCTGAGCTGGTCCAGCTCCCTGGGCATGTAGATGATCTTCTGGGTCCGCAGAAACGGGTAGAGGGCAGAGAACTCCTCGTATCCCCCTCGGAGGACCTTGGCGGGATTGCGGCTGCCCATCTCCGCCATGACCTGGGCGCAGGCAATGGCTGGCTCTGAATGGAAAGGAATATACACAATTAAAAAATTAATACAATTCTGAATTCAATTAAATTTAATTAAACAATAGACCTACTTCTATTTAAACACAAGCAAAAAGGAAACTTAAGACACATCCACATTAAGAGTACACACAAGTCCAATAACTATTTTGAAAAAGGGGAAACAAAGGAAAGAACAATTAAGTAACAGCCATAAATATTTGGTCTTTCAATGACTGAACAAATAACAGGGAAAAAAATGAAATTGATCACATGAAGCAAATGATTAACAATTCATATAATTTTATGCTTTGTTGACAACTTTAGTTCCAGTGCCCACCACACTGATCCCAACGGGCTAAAACCAAAAGTTAGAGATTGATCTTTAATATTAGTCGGACGCTTTTGAGTTAAAATAAATTTCTGTGCTTCGATGTACATGTACTCAAGACGTTTTTAGAACACACATAAAAGAAAATGATTGCTTTAATTAAAGTTGACTTGAATAAGCCACTGAATACCTATGGACTCTGCACGAATAGATGACACTGTCTGGCCACTTTCAAGAGTTCAAGTGGAGGGACACATCACGTGTGTTGTGTGCATACTGGTTCGCAGGCGTTTAGGATGCAGAACTTGTTTGATTCTGCATATGCACAAAGCTATACCATCTTCGCATGAGCGTCAGGCGTCATCGGCAATGCGTTCGAATATCCTTCCCAGTGCTCTCCCCCAACTCTCCCTTTGTACCCGTTGAGGGGTACTTGTGTACAGAGTCCATTGTAAAATAAAGTTTATAAAGTGTTTCTACCTTGATCTTTTAGGTTTCGGGTCTTGCTATCCAGTACCACAACATGCATTTTGCATTCCAGCTCACCATCATATGGAACAAGGAATTCACCCAAGGCTGACTGCAATAATTACACCCAAAAAATAAAACATGTTACACTTAACTTTGTGGTTTAGCGCGATGAAACTTAACTCAGATAACTGCAAGTAGAGTGGACAATTTGCAGCTACCAAAAAAGTAACTGAACAAAATATTATGAAAAAGCTCACTTGGTTTAAAGATAGGAATGACGCTAAACTCCCTGTGAAATGATTGCTCCTGGCATGCTGTCCTTTTGAAGAACACACTAAAGGGTCATTTCCAAAGATCTATCAAGTGACACATTTTTCGTAACACTTTTGTTGCTTCAAACCAAAATATGAACAAACAAGTGGGCGATTCCAGAGTTATGCAATGAGTTATGTTATGTAATGTCTGTGACGGAGCCTTTAAGAGCTCAGTGAATAAAACTGAAAATGTACTTTTCAAATAATCTATACATTCATTATCTAGTAATGGTCAAGAAGATTACAGGCTAGGAGTTTTGGATAATTTCTTTGAATCGTTGATCAGATATCGCGGTCAGTTAGCTATGTCACAGACATTAAACTTCCTTTTAATACTGGAATTGCCCAAATGGTCCTTTTTACGATTAACTTTTACGATGGACTTTGTGCTTGCATCCTATAGCAAGATCATTCTCAAATGAAAACAAACCTGACATTTTGACAATGTTAGACAAAACAACGGTTTACACAACTTTTCATTCAATGTATCCACATTTAATGTAGAGATTTCAGAGTTGTTAAGGATTTTTCGTGAAAAAGTAACATTTCTTTTTCGAATCATTTGTACAGATGAAAAGTCTTTTTGTTATCACACGTATTGTTTGTAAAGACTACCAACAATGTAACAAAGCCTTTTCGAAGATGTGATGTAGTCTTGTTTGATAAGGAAAAAGGTTTTAAAAAAATCAGTTCAAGTAAAATGAGTCAAACATTTACCCTTGGTGCTTTCTTGGATGTGATGATGTGGCTCTCATTGTACTCATTTGTCTGCCTGGCATCTGTGAGTTGAATACATTAGGAAGAAATGAAGAAGGGAAAATACAAAAATAAAACCAGATAAAATCATAAACTGTTGTCCATCACATAATCTAGACAAGGTAATGTCACACAAAATGTCAGTAACAATAAATTGTTTAAGCAAACATGCCTGCCTACACAACCACATTTCCTTTTTTAACCGAACCTCATCATCCTCATACAGTGAAATCTTGATGAGTCAAACCTCACGGGAACAGGTTCAAACTTTGACTTTAGCAGAGTTTTGAGTTAAAGCTATAGTCCATCATTTGCAGCCATCCGAAAAAGTAACTGGCATTTTATTGTTGAAAAACACACTTGGTTGGGATTTAAACTCCCTGTGAAATTATTCTTTCTGGAAAGCTGTCATTTTGAAGTAATCAACGAAAGAAGGCCTTTCCAACGGTGCGTCTTAAGACGCACCGTAGGAAAATTTAAATTAGTAGTTCGTTTTGTTATTCGGCGCAGCGCGCGCAATCATTGGCACGATGCACAGGCGAGCGCGGTTGCTATAATTTGTCAGATCAGTGCGCGACATCGCGTATAGCTGCAATTCAAAACAATTCAAAACATGATTCAGCAACTTTTGATTTGAAATTGAGATCCTAGAATGCTGTTTTTCTCGGAATATACAGCTGAAGCTGAGCTGAAACTTCATCAGGTTAGTTGTTCAGTATCCTTCATTAGATTTTGAACACTTTTGTTGCTTCAAACGAACAAAATGCACAAATTACAAATGATGGACTATATCTTTAAGCAGGGATGTATATCATTGTTATACAACTGAAGGGAATGGATTCTTTGTTTGACTTAACAGTTGTTTTGAGCTATCAGAGTTTGACTTATCGAGATTTCATTGTAGTTTGTATGGCAACAGTCAATTCCTCTATGCAACCTCATATTGACCACAAAAAAATATCAGGCCAAGTAAACAAATTAATCAGTTTCTCATCCTCACTTCCTTCCTTTTCCCACCCGCTTGTTTTTTTGGTTTTTTTTATCATACATTTCCAATACATTTTGTCTTTTAATTTGTTCCCAGCAAAATTGTAGCTTTATGTGCAAGTTCAAAATCTGGTAAAAAGAGCATGGCAGCTCCTTTGCACACAAAGCATCATCAAAAGAGTTGAGAAAATGGAAGAATCCATCTGCAATCTTTGAAAAGCTGCCATAGTTGTGGAGGGGGGGGGGGGGAAAGGGCCGCCTCTTTCATTTTTTCTCAAAAAGCTAGGACGAGAAAGCATTTTTGTTTTTACTGGGCCCAATGTCTCAGTATTTTGTCACTCCACATCTGGTATTGACATGATCAAAGTATCTGTACCTAGAAGCAAGAGATAATTGGCATCACTGAGGCATGGATATGATGTAGCCTGCTGGAGGATGTTGTACAGCTCTGTTGGTTCACACATCACGATGCGTCCTGCCATGGTGTTCAGGGGGATTACTTTATTAGATGCGAGATGAAACTTGATGAAACTTGTTTGACTGTTGACAAAAAGAATTAAATCAGTGGTATAAAGATAAATAAAACTTACTCCGGGATGCAATCATAGTTCATACCATTGATTTAAATTTGCTAATGGTTACCTTTTAAAAATGACGAACAGAGCATACTGTTTGAAACGTCAAGTTAACCCAACTGGCTCTTCTCAGAACCACACATCTCACAAAGAAATATCATTCACATGGTGTTACCGCAAACCTCCCATTCCTTGATCACGTCCACCATGCAAACCGTTATTAAATCTTAAGAAATAAGGTGTTTCACGATAATAATAGAAATATGCGCCATCTTGCCTGCGGGGCAATTTTACAGGCGTTGCTGTGTACGCATTGACAATGGAAAACTTTGGTGCTTCCAAGTTATCATGCGGTCATTCCAAAATGCGCCCGCATCTAGCAGCGCGTGTTCTTTCTGCCACGTAAACAAGATATATTACCGTGAAACGCCTTATTGCAACTTTGCAATTTATAAGTTACCATCAAAAACATTTCATAATGGCAATGCAAAGGCAATGCCAATGACAATGACTGAATTTTTTGATATTGCTCTATGGATTCAGATGATGAAATGAATGAAATGGCATTAACTTTTTTAAATTACTTGCAGAGGTTAATTTTAACATAGGATAGCTAGGATGATCCTTAGCGTTATGTTTATGCATAGGATAGACCTAGGCCTATCATGCCTATAATCAGGTAGCCCCACTAGTGTGGCTGCGGTATGCTGCACTGAACCGCGGGCGTGGCCATGTTGTGCCCATTCTTGAAAATCACGCATTCTCGAGAATGGGCATGCACATTCTTGAGAATGTGCAACTGGATCCTTGCTCAATCTTGGCAAAAAATAACTCTTCCAGATTGAGCGCACATTCTTGAGAATGCGCGACAAGATAACGGTCTTGTCGATGCCGAGCACCGGCTGCGCTTGGCAAGTCTAGCTGAATCCCCTCGTTCACTGATTCTCAATAATTATACTGTTGCAACGCAAGGCGCTGAAAAGTAGAGTGGATATGATAAGTAAAGGCGTATTGATATGGGGGGGGGGACCGGGAAAAAATAAGAGACATAATAATACTAGTGCAAAGAATTCTAAATTTTTGGGATAATAAAAGCGGGGGGGGGGGGGGGGGGGGGGGGGGGAGGAGGGGGGGGACGTAAGAATGAAGAATGTGAAGAATGAGAATGAATACTGTGACATCCCATAGTGCTAATGCTATTTCCCATTTAAATTGCCACCAATTTATTGTTCACATCCCACCATAACGTCGCATCTAGTCAAAAGAGCAATTTTGGCAGCTTCTGGACATCGTTTTTTTTTTCGTAGCACGCATATGATACATGCAGGGACTTGTAACTTGTCTAGCCTAAATAAAGCACTTCCCAGACTAGTTCCCAGTCCTCCGTTATTACAAAACTTCCCGTAGTGGGCAGAAAAAAAGCAATAATAACAGGTTTAATTTGATTCAAATTATCGTAGTTATACGAGTACAGAAGCATAGAACATTTTCTTTCCTCTTTATATGAATTGTTTCCCTTTTAACCGCTATACAATTCATTTAACATAATTATGTCGTGCAATGTTTGTTAAGATTGGGCAAAATTCATAAATTGTGCACGTGATATTCCCACCCAATCTTAAGAATGAGCGCTCATTCTTAAGAACGCGTGCTCGTTCTTAAGAATGGGCGCTCATTCTTAAGAATGCGCGCCCATTCTCGAGAATGTGCATGCCCATTCTCGAGAATGCGTGATTTTCAAGAATGGGCACAACAGCCACACTAGTGCCTTAGACTTAGTAAGTTAGTGGGGCTAATAATCAGGGGGATAATTGAAATTTATAGAAAATGTGCAGAATAAACTACCTATAATTTGGACCCCTCCCAAGCATTATTATTTATTATTTGTTTTGGTACCAATTCAGTCATTGGCATTTGCATTGCCATTGCCTTTGCATTGCCAGCATTATGAATAGCTAATATTAATAATATAGGCCTCATAATAACTTGTTCAAAATTTATGATTCAAATTCAATGACATTGACAAAATAAAATGTTATTTTTAATCATGTTTTCGTGGAATGATTTGAACTTCACAAACCCTGCAGAATCCTTACAATGGAAGTTTAAATATCCACTAAAAAAAAAAAACTGTTTAATCTACGATATCTCAAATAAAAGCACAAAAATAGCTCACAACAGAATAAACACTTGTGTCGTCTGCTCCTGCACAACTTCCGCGTTTAGTTACCAAGGAGAATATTTCCAGTTCCGGTAACATTGCATTGTGGGACACAACTTTCTGAACAACAAAACTGCGGCTGCGCTGTGACCCCTACGATCGACCTTTCCTCTGCTCGTTTCGCCGGTTCTGGCTGCAAATCATCACATTTCACTAATTTCGCCGCATAATTTTCGGATTTATACAACTTGTATTCGAACTTTTTGTTGTAAAGACCGTTAATTTAGATCGCAGTCAATATGTTGAGATCTTGTGTACTTTTGAGGAGGGCGGGAACGCCAGCCCAGGCCAAGCGATTGCTGTCGCTGTCTGCTCAGGTAGGCCGTAGGCCGTGCGGTTAATAACGGTAAACGTGCGACCATGGACTGGCAGTGGCACGTACGCCAGCTGTACAGCCGGCGCGGCAGGCGGTGTTTTTTTTTGGGGGGGGGGGGGGGGGGGAGGGGGGATCGGTCGGGATGGGGGTGGGGGTGGGGAGAAGGAGAAAGCAAAGAGTGGCGGTCTTCTTATATCCTTGACCCTCCATAATCTGCGCAGGTAACGATTGCAACGCGCGCTCGTTGTCACACACAATGAATGCGAGTACTAGTCCTAGAACTATCAGACTATGAGGCTCCACTACGTGGAGCCTCATAGTTCTAGGAGTAGAATGCGAGTACGTAGAAATAGGACCGCGTAGCTTTAGTTTAGGGGGTCTGACGATACTATTACAAGTGTTAATAACAACTTCACCCAAAAATATGAAGTGACGCCACTTTGTTTATGACAATTGTCATATTTATTAAAATGTAATTGATGATCATGATGTCCATGAAAATTTTTGAAAAGACATGAAAAATGAATCTGGGACTGAGAAACACTTCCAAGTTTGTTACAAAATACTTTGGAAACGCACTTGGAAAGAATTCCATACCTAGACATCACTTGACACCCTGTGCTCAAACCCTATGAGAATGGTCTGAAAAAAAGTGTTTTGTACACAACCAAAGTGAAGTGGCATCTGGATAATTAATACAAAATGTACATTCTTTCCGAAATGAAAACTATTGTGGTGTGGTAAACAAACAATGAAAGAGAAAATAGCCTTTTGAAGTTTTGTACAGAATTTAAAATTTTACAGTTTTACACATTTTAATAGAAATAGGCTCGTTGGTCATGTGACTTTTCTCCATGGACAAAGACAACAGATCTTGACATGACGGCCAAATTTATAAAATCCCAACTTAAAAACTTTATAGGTTACACAAATGTAATTTACCTGTCATAATTCCTGATATCTTTGGTTATTTGGTATTTCACTGTGGATTGTCAAAGTAACTGTTGTTGGGACTGCTTTCATCATCAACAACAGTCATTTTGCCAGAATGTAAACCAGAAAAAAAAAGTTTCGCAACTCTTACATTGACAATTTCTACACTTGACATTGTTGTCCTCAGGACCACCAGAAGGTGGCCGTTATGGGTGCAGCCGGTGGCATCGGCCAGCCCTTGTCCCTCCTGCTCAAGTTGAACCCCATGGTCAGCAACCTGGCGCTGTACGACGTGGTCAACACCCCCGGTGTGGCAGCTGACCTGAGCCACGTGGAGACGCCGGCCAAGGTTGCAGGTTACCAGGGAGCGGAGCAGCTGCAGCAATGCCTGGAGGGGTGCCAGCTGGTTCTCATCCCCGCCGGTGTACCAAGGAAACCTGGTGAGCCGTTGAAGATTACGGCATCGTGCCATAATGTGTAGGGCCTCCGTACACAAATGGTGGATTACACCTGCTTGGCCTACTCAAAGAGAAGTGAATATCTACTGAGGTGGTACCACGTACTTGCACAGGTTCAATGTTCGCAAACTTTTGTGATAAGTTTGCCATGAAGTGTGTTCACATCAACTTTAAAACAAAAATTGGGATGTAAAATCTATGTATCAGACTGGGACCATGAGTGCAAAAAAAAAAAAAACGTGCAAAACAAAATCAGGCCAACTTTAGTCACTCTTTAGCGGACAAAAATGCAAACTAATTTCAGTTTGAAGCTGAAGACTAGACTGGTACTTGTCCAACTTTTTGACAAAGATTGATTACATGGTGGCATGTATGGAGGGAATGTACAGAAAAAAAGTCTGGGTACCGAACGTTTCTTTTGGCTTCCTTTTATACTAAGAAGTTTAAGACTGTGTGTGGACTGGTTGTTTCGTGTGTCAGTCTATTTTCTTGTGTTGCATGCTTTCATATGTTTTGAGACTCTGATACACAGTACTGAGAGTCCCAAATTTTTGGCAAAGTGATGTCTGTGCGAGTGTATTCTAAGTAATGGTTTCTAATTGTCACCAGATTAGTCTATTTGGAGTTTTCACAATAGCCCATGTTGGCGGTCATGACTTGAGATTTGCTCCAAAAATCTAGTCTTTATCAAGCTTTGTTGAATAAGCATATGAACATACAAACACAAATAACACCCCTGATCAAAAACTCTTCTAAATTTTGAGCTCATGATCAGTGGACGTCTACAAGTTTACTGATATTTTAGACTCTGTTACTTGTGAAAAAGATAGACATGTACCAACTTTTTGTAGTGATTTTATAATTTTGTATTTGCATCGAAGGTTTGAGTTCTTTCTGTAATCAGATTTTCATTATCTTTTTTGCTGGAAAGCTGGTCAAAAATGATCAAAAAGGCTAATCACTGACAATCCCTAGCCAGAGATTTTTGTTCAAGTATGTTCTTAAAAAGTTTCTGTCAATTTTGGTCAATTTTTCAAGAGTTAAATTTGTTGGCTGTCCTAGGAATGACAAGAGACGATCTGTTCAACACCAATGCCTCCATCGTCCAGACTCTGAGTGAAGCAGCTGCCAAGTACTGCCCCACGGCCATCATGGGAATCATCACTAACCCAGTATGGACAACATTTCTCAGCGTCATTATGTCACATTTTTCTTTAAACTTTCAAGTGGCACTGTCATACCATTTGGGGATCCATACAAACAGGTTCAAATTTGTATTACTATAGAAAATTTGCTGATAAGTAAACCTCACCCTGCTTACGTGTGTGTAAATTTCACAGAAAAGTGCCTTCAGGTTACCTAGAAAAAGGAGGAGGCTTTTGCTCTGTCAGCTTTTACCCTTTAATTACTGGATATTTTGCTTCCCTCTTCTTGAGTGCTATCCATTTGACTTATTGATTTAATGAGGTATGGGGATCCATACAAACAGGTTCAAATGCGTATTACTGAAGAAAATTTGCTTATTAGTAAACCTCACCCTGCAATCGTACATGTGTAAATTGCCAACTTTCACAGGAAAGTGCCTTAGAGTTAACTAGAATACGGAGGATGAGTTTGCTGTGTCAGCTTTACTCCTTAATTTCTGGGTATTTTGCTTCCCTCTTCTTGAGTGTTATCCACTTACTTATTGATTTAATGAGGTATGGGGAGAAAAGAGTAAGTAAAAAGTAAAAGTCTATCACAAGCCAATGTGGCCCATCAGGCCGGCGTTTATCTCTGGTTGCACTAGCATGAAATTACTAAGAATATTTCTATTCCCCCCTGGATGGGATGCCAGCCCATGGCAGGTTACTCCCCAGCTAATGCCGGTACCCATTTATACTCCCGGGTGGAGAGAGGCAAGGGGGGGGGGGGGGGGGGGGGGGTGAAGTGGCTTGCCCAAGGACATTACATATGGCAAGTGGCTGGATTTGAACCCCTGACCCTCTGATCATGAGTCACAAACCCTAACCACTAGGCCACACTCCCCACTAGGGGGAAAAACCCATGGTTATTCACAATATGTATTTCAACTTATGGCATGCATGGCCAAAAAATCTGGAAACAATATGGGTAGAAACTATTAGGCAACATCAACAAATGGACGTCATGTTTGGCTGTTGTATCTGTGGGTAAAGGAAGGATTTTTCAACAGCTGTTCTTCTATATTGTGAAATACTTGGATCGTAACGACCCTTATCCTTGAATAGATTTTTTTGGTCTACTTTTTATGTGCATGACTTTTGTAAACAATTCAGGTCAATTCCACCGTTCCCATCTGCTCTGAAGTCTTCAAGAAGGCTGGAGTCTACGACCCTAACCGCATCTTTGGGGTGACCACCCTGGACATTGTCCGATCCAACACGTTTGTCTCGGAGCTCAAGGGCCTGGATGTCAGCACCACCTCGGTGCCGGTCATCGGCGGACACTCGGGGATCACCATCATCCCGCTGCTCTCACAGGTAAATGGACACTTTGAGACACCAGAGGGCAGTAGACAACCTGGTGCTTAATTTGAGACAATAGAGGGCAGTAGAACAAACTGGTACTGAAAGCATTGCTCTAGCTGTTGCTCAGGTAATCCATCACAGGGCAGTTGCTTTGTAAAGTTACCAGAGTTGTAACAAGTCACTGTGTTGTGACACAAGTCAAGTCAAGTCATTTTAAGGAAGTTACTCGAGTTGAATCAAGTCATTAGGTCAAGAAAATTGACATGAGTCAAGTCACACTGTGTGGTCGAGTCGAGTCAAATTTATGCTCGAGTCAATTTGAGTCACTGATATTTGAACAAATTTCAGAATAGAAGAAGGAAATCAAGGTACCAGTTTATTAGGAAGACCCAAAGACATAAAATATGCTGCATGGTACCCAATAGACAGTTTCTGCTGGACGTTTCTACCAAGATCTTGTTGATGCAAGAACTGCATGTCCGTGTTTGTATTGTTTCGTCAGACCCAGCCCTCAGTATCGTTCACAGATGATGAGCTGGAGAAGCTGTCTGATCGTATCCAGAATGCAGGCACTGAGGTGGTCAATGCCAAGGCTGGAGCTGTGAGTATCTAGACAATCAACATCATTAATTTAAAAAAAAAAAAAACACCTAAAAACAAATTGATGCAAAACTCTCAACACAGTTATTAACAATCTATTTTCCATTTCAAACCTATTATAGTAGATGTATGGTTACAGCTATTCCTTCAGTAATACAGTCGAGTCTCATTAATACAAACTCGTTCGGACCTAGCCAAATTGTGTGTTATATCAGAATTTTGTATTAAGAGGAACATAAGTCCCATTCATTGTGCAGATAAATGCACAGTCAGGACTAAGGCTTTGTGTTTGTTATAACCAGAATTTTGTATTAACAGAGTTTGCACTAACGAGATTCGACTGTATATATAAAAAAAGTAATAATACACCATACCACTCTGTATGCACAAGTTCACCTCTGCAGAGGACATTTGAGACATTGTTGTCGATGCAGGACAGTTCAGTGGTCTGCAAAAAGTCTTAGAATGTGAATAAAGTATCGAGTCTTTTGTGAATAAAGTATCGAATCTTCAGTAATTGAATGAACAGCACACACCTTCATGCACAATGGTCATAATTGTGCCCTTCACTTGTTATACTACATGGCGCCCTCTAGACATCATTTGTGGAGTCCAATTCATACACTTTTTGAATGTATGTTTTAATTAATGGACATTTTCTTATTAAACTACAGGGTTCTGCCACATTGTCCATGGCAATGGCTGGTGCAAGGTTTGGAAGTTCGGTAAGTCATTGGAATCGTTTTTTTCTACATCATAACTAAATTTCATTTTCTAAGATCCAAAACTTTTCCTCGTAGATTCCCTTCAATTAGTAAATGTGTATCGACATCAGTTTGCAGAAGTTGACATATTTTTATAGAGAAAAGTGACAATATTGGTCTCAGATACCCTTTTCAAAAGTGTTTTTAGTGGTGTCGTCTTGCATGTTGGCCATGATAACAGTTTTGTTTCAACTCACAGAAAATCTTGTCACCTATTTAAAAGTTTAAAATTTAAAATTCCCACATTGACCCCGCATTTTTCCCCCAAAAAATTTACAGGCGATGTACCTACCTTGATTTGAGAAGTAAAGAATTTTTCTCAAGCAGCAAATCGTATTTTTATTCACAGGTTCTGAAGGCTCTTAACGGTGAGCAGGGAGTCGTCGAGTGCGCCTTTGTCAAGTCAGATATCACAGAGGCTGGATACTTTGCCAACCCAGTTTTGCTTGGGGTAAGACGTTTGATCTGATAATATTTTTATTTTTCTGTACAGATAAAAACTTTGCTCGAAAGAACCAAAATTGTGTTGCTTCGATGTTAGGTAATATACAACATTTGCAAACATCAAAAAACAAAACTATCAAATCATTATGAAATACCTTACTTGACTGTAAGTGAATAATAGTCTCAAGCATCCTGTGAAATCATGGCACCTAGGGGGCTGTCATTTCCAAGAAAAGTGGAATTTTGTATCCGTTTCCAAAGATGGTTGGCCGAGCATCGTTGGAAAGACTGACATTTTTCAAATATTGCTCCCAATTTAGAAAATTAGTTAGTCCCCATTTTGTTTGCAATCGGTTACACATCCACAAACGGGTGCAAGCCAGCTAGTCTGGTTCCCTGACTGACAATTCCCCCGACATCAACTCGTTCCCATGGGTACAAGATCTTGCTGCACCATGTTGTTTCCCATCATGCCTTGCGTGATCTCAACCCCTGGAATTGTGTAATTTAAATGTGTCAAAATATGGCACATTATAATTAGGCTGCAGTTTATCCATTTTACGTGCCGACGCCATCTTTAAAATGTTGAAAGTTGTGTTTTTGAAGAATCAATCCTTTCAAACATAAGGTTTGGATGTTATGTTATTTATCCAAGATTTGTATTAAAGGTACGTACCCCTTTCGTCCCTTTACAACCGCAGATACAGAGTTTTTTTAACGAAAACGAGGCTGCCATAATCCATATCGTGCAGGCTTCGCGCAGTTTGAATATTCGTACGTGACGTGACATACAAAGCACGCGAGCGCATTATGGGCGCGCTCAGCGTGCAGTCTTCGAAATGCCCGAGCAGTACGCTCTGAATAGCCAGTCAGCATCCGTTTATGTGTACATTGTGGCCAGGGGTTAGTGAAGCAACGCGCACGCGCCCATGGAGTAGAGGCTGCCCGGACATCTATAAATTGCTCTGTTTTGTCTGAAGTAGGGTCAGGGAACCAGACTTCAAGAACAGCTTTTTTTTTTCTTTTTTTTTTCAGCATCTATGAACACAATATAGTGTAACCCCCAACTCCATCCATTTCTGAAAATTACAGCAAAGGCAAATGCTGTATATTCACCTTTAAAGGTTTGCATGGTGAAAACATCAGAGAAAGTTTGCAGTTGCATTATATGACGAAACAAATTCTTGTGTGAGTTTGTGTGGTTCGGAAAAAAGTAGTGGGAGACTCTGCCCATTGTCAGGAGACTGAGTTTCCAATTTGTTTTTCAGAACCACACACACTCACAAAAGAAATTTGTTTGTTAACCTTATTCTTTTTTATCATTTAAAAACAGATTTTGCTTGCAAGGCAGGAGTAGCGATTTCTGTCACAAATTGGGGGGATTTAGGCCTTTTTAGTAAAGAGTCTCCGAACGATTGAATTTTCATTGTCAATTAAAAATCTTGAAGGGTGATACTTGATCATGTAGCTGCTTCTTCCTTATGCTAAGATTGTCACAAGTGTAGGAGGTGGGAAGTATTAGAAGATAATTGCAAAGTAAAATAATTTGCTGATGTAGTAAGGTTCAAATATTATTGCTCATATCATCTTAATAATTAGTTCCAAACATTTCTCAGTTTTTTCAGCAGATGCCGGCTTTATCAAATGCAATTTCAGGCTAGACATTATGTATTCCGAGAGAACCGAGCATTTTCTAAAAGTGATCAAGAGCCACCCTAGACTTACTTTGTTTCTTATCTGCGAAGCAAATGTTCTTAGAAATTTTAAAAAGACCCACCCCTCCAAAAAAAATAATTGTCTCATTGTCATGGACGAGGGTAACATTTTGCCACACGCTGGTTCAGAAACATTAACTTGATATAAAACTCCTGTTTTTGCAGCAAAATGGTCTTGAGAAGAATCTGGGTTTCGGCAAGCTCTCCAACTTCGAGACAAAACTACTTGCCGATGCCATGGGTGAACTGAAGGGTAACATTGCCAAGGGGGAAGACTTTGTGAGGAACAACTAAACACACAAGCCCCCCCCCCCCCCCCCCCCCCATCCTAAACTTCTAAAACAGATAAGTCCCATGACGCATAATCACTTCAAGGGCATTTGGATAAACTGGTTTTCTGATCTGATGCTGGTCTTCAGTGACTTTATACCCAAGGGGTCCGGGCACCAGACAATATGAATATGTTAAATCCATCTGTTGAATAGTATTTGGGGATTTTGAACAGTGTTGGTATTTACTCATTATATCAAACAAGGACAAAATTAAATTGTTTTTTTCATCTTCCAGGCATTTTTTTTATCTCAGTTTCTTACAAACAATTCTACAAAAACTTGTGTTGCTGCATTTAAGGTTACGATAATTAGAAGAAGAATCCGGTAATTTTGTGCTGAAAACCTTTATACAAAGCTCCTATTAATACTCCTAAATAAAGTCCGAGTCTGTCATGGTAAATCAGTTTTTGAATAGAATTCCCACTAATTTATGCCTTTTATCAAAGATAAAAACTGCATGCAGTGACCCTGAGTATCTAATATTGTGCAAATGCGTATCAGTTAAAGATAGCTTTTGAAAAGTAGTAAATTTTTCTTCCTCATGTAATATATATGGCAAATCTTTATCAAAATAATTTTAGAAGTGTGATGCTCTGGCGTTAAATTTGATATTTCGGCAGAATACATTTGCAAGTATTATTCGCAGATTTGAAAGCCTGTGACAAGTTAATGGTACAGATTTCCTGATTTTTGTGATCTTTTAGGATTGTTTATATTTGTGATGTAAATGTAATGTGTGTGTGTGTGAACCTGATGTCATGCATGGTAGACACAGATATAAGTACTTTTGCGCAGGGCTGTCCCAAATATTTGATCATCAACCGAATATGAGAAAAGCTTTTTGCCGGTTTGAATATTGGAAAAAAAAAAAAAACTACGCACATACACACACGACTGTGATGTTACTTTATCATAAAGTTGCTGCGTTTTGTTTTCAGGTGCCACTTTTTTTGGTCGACGGTAACTTTTCTGTCGACGGCTGTTCATTGTTTCTATCCTTTTAGCTGGTTAAAGCCCTTGACAGTTGTAAAATACTTGCTGCAAAACACTCTATAGATTCAAATTAGGTTTTTGCCCTTCACCGACGTTTTAACACTGTATACTCAGTGTGTTACCTCCCGAGTGAAACTTGGAAAAAATCACTCGGATGCGCTAGAAAGCAGGAGCTCGTGGGTTCGAGTCCCATCCGAGTGATTTTTTCCAAGTTTCACTCGGGAGGTAACACACTGAGTATACAGTGTTTAAACGTCGGTGAAGGGCAAAAACCTAATTTGATTTGTATCACCCCAACGCAAAATTCCATCTTATAAAACTGTATAGATTGCCGCACGCAAATTTTAACTGGCGCACTCTGCATGCAACTTTTGACCGGAGCGGCACGCATTTACAGCTGGCAGTTTCGAATATCTGAATATTCAGTCAAACACAGTTTTGAGTAATTGAGTACTAAATTATTCGACAATGGACAGCCCTACTTTCACAGGAATAAATCTTATATCTGCATAATACTGATTGCTTTTGTGATAAAAAGTTAATGGGGAAAAAAATCAATCACCTTATTTGTTGCTTTTCCTACCTTTATTTACTGTTTACAGACTTTCAATTTGATATGCATTCATTTGTACTAATGCAGCGGTATTAAAATACCAGGCATGCAACTGTGAAGTTAGAAAAAAGGAGGAAATTTTAAACCACGCTAGACTTCGTACGGTGTTTTTCAATTTGTAATGACATCCATGAGAAGTAAAAATACCAGGAAATCAGCGGATGAGAGGAAAAGTTGCATGCCTGAATACCAATAATATAGTTCTTGTTTGTGGATCTGTTTTTGTTTACAGAGTCAAGATAAATAAAGTGACCCAGTTTAAAGTAAATTCATGTAACTTGAGTTTTTAATAAAGTTCATGGTCATTGAATAAATATAATACATACAATAGATGATTTATCGCAGAGGGATATATTTGAATTGGATGTGAACCACCAAAAGTTAACTTTTGTTTTTTTTGCATCCACGTTTTCGGTCTGGGTTTGGGCATTGTCAAAATGTACCTTTTTACATCATGTGCACTGTGTTGCTCTAGGTCGCTGAAACTGCAAAAGGCCTTATGTGTTGCAGGTACCTCAAGAGGGCATTCTTTCTTATTTTTAGTAACAATGAATGCACATGCCGATCCCAGCAACGCAAAGCCATTGCCCTCTGACTCCGCCTTCATGCATAAGGTCTATATTTCTATAATTCATTATTTCCACAATTTATACAAACAACGGATAATATCTTGGAATCATTCGGATCCTTCGGATTCGATTAATTTAATATTTTATTATTGATTTTAGCTAAAGTCCATGTTTCTTTATGTGGTCTTCAATCCACTGTGTGAAGTGCGCCACTTTGGTATACACCCCTGGCTTGTTGGCCATGGCGCACCCACGGCCCCAGCTGGTGACCCCGACGAGGTGCCAACGACCGTCGGACAACTCACATATCAGAGGCCCGCCTGAATCCCCCTGAAGAAAAGAAAAAAATAAGAACATTCAAAATACATGTACTGCCATAAGTGACATTTAAGGCACAGGTTTCTGAAAAAATAAAACTTCATGACTTTCCCCTTGTATTTTAGTTCACTGTAGCCTCTCACTGAGACTGAGCCTTTCTTGAAAACACACACACAAACGATAAATTTCAGTGTTCATTACGAATCTCGCCTGCAATTTTCTGCACCTTAACAAATTGACTGAAGGAGTCGGGGGTCAATTTCACGTTTGTCAATTTTTCTTTTATTCTCAGAAAATCAAGTAGACTCAAAAATCAAAATAGATTTACCCTAAATGATTTTGTTGCTGCTGACTGGTACAATGTATGTTTAATATTGTTATAATTTGTTACTTTAATTAGCATGTAATAAGTACAACTTCAAATACAACACGGAAAACAAATTTGGTGAAGCACCTTTCCAAAAAGCAACATTTACTGTTGTTAAAGTGGACTTTAAACCGACATTTTGAAATCTCAGCCATAAGAACATGAATCAGATTTTTTCCATCAGAAAGTCACACAGCCTCACTTTTTATATACAGTAGCTACATTGCATCTTCCATTGTTGAGTTTGTATACGTCATATGTGACCCAGCACAAAACCAGTTGAAAATTGCATCGCTGTATTTTGAGATCAATGAATGAGGAATATCGTACCGGCAAAAATGATCAAACATTTAGAATTGGGCGTTAGAAGCTAGAATAATGAATATATGTCACTGTTTATGTAGTTAATTTGTAAATTTCTGGAGGAGTTCATTTGGGAAACTGTTAACGATTAAATTCTTGATTCTAAAAAAAATTCTGAGGCCTCAAAATCAGGAACTGAACATGTGTATAACTCCGTCAGATTTGGTCTGATTCCCATATTCTATACCACATTGGAAATTTTATTCAATGTCCTTTGCAATCAGCATAAAATCCCAATTTTCTAAAATTGGTTTGTGCTGGAGGGTCACCTTTGATGACTTACCTGGCAAGCATCAATTCCTCCAGCCAGGTACCCCGCACACATCATGGTGTCCCTAACCATCCCCTTGTAGACATCCTTGTGGTTACACTGACTCTGGCTTAGGATAGGCACGGGGGCCTCCTGAAGTTTCCTGGCTTGTCTCCCTCCCACTGCACAAAGAACAAAAAACCAAAATGCAAGATCTGAGTGTTTTATATCGTTGGTGTTTCTCGGCGAGATTTGATCTATCACTTAGGGAATGTACTACAACATTTGCTTTGCTGCAATTTTCAGAAATAAATGGATTTGGAAGATAAGTATGTTATAGCAAATATTAATAACTGACTTGTTTCACGTTTTGGGCTTGTAGATGCTGGAAAAACCGAGAAAACCAATCATGTTCTTGTAGTCTGGTTCCCTGACCCCACTTAAGATGAAACGGAGCAATTTATAGACTTTGGGGAATTGTAAGGTCAGAGAATCAGTCTAGCAGGCTTGTACCAGACCCTTACATGTCTGTAATCAATTGCAAAGAAAATGCGGAATAACTAAATATGAAAATTTAGGAGCAGTTTTAAAAAAAAAGCCAGTTTTCTCCAACGCTGGTCGGCCCGACCAGTGTTGGAAAACTTTCGATCAAAGATGTTATTTTTAAAATATGTGTTGCGTTTGCCCCTCTACATATTTGTGTAAGCACTGTACTAGATTGCAAACACTGCGCCAGCTTTTACTTGTACAAGGCGCCGCTACGCGGTGCTGTACGATCTTTGCATTTCACCCTTACTTTCCGTCAATCCCCATCCCGTCACAAAGCAGTGAGTCTTGTCCCTCATGTCCAAATCCTCGTCCAGGCAGGCCACATTGACTTGCTTGCCATCCAGGGACAGGGACCTGTCTAATACCAAGACGGCCAAGTCGTTCTGCATGGTCTTGCTGTTGAACTCTTTGTGCTTGATGATGTGCTTGATGTTTGCCTCTTGCTCGCCAGAGCCAAGATGGAGGTCGATTGTATGCTTGCCCAGGTGCACCTTCCAAGAGTTTGCGTCATTCCTGGTTTGATAAAAGAAAAACAAATATCTTGGAGGTGGGTAAGATCTGATGTACACTTTCCTGCAGTATCCCTTGTTTGTGGAGTTGCACAGGTTTACCACAGGATTGGGTTTTGACCTGTACTGAATAGGTTGTGCAGACTTGATATGAACTTAACTTTTAAGAGGTTACATTTTAAAGTATTGCTTTCATCACTGAGACCCGAACCTCTTTAGAAATTGTGTGATTTTTGTTTTCTTCACAGAGACTCTATTGGCTTGTTTTGTTAACTTTAAAATGTAATGTACGTAGTCTTATCAAAGATAGATTGTAGATGTGGTTTTTTCACCAATCTGCAACGGCCAAGCCCTTGGGGGAGTGTGGCGTAGTGGTTAGGGTTCGTGTGACTCATGATCAGACGGTCAGGGGTTCGAATCCAGCTGCTGGCCATATGTTGTGTCCTTGGGCAAGCCTCTCATCCCCACTTGCCTCTCTCCACCCAGGAGTATAAATGGGTACCGGCATTAGCTGTGGAGTAACTGTGATGGACTGGCATCCCATCCAGGGGGAATAGAAACATTCCCAGTCATTTCATGCTAGTGAAACAGGAGATAAACGCTTGCCTGATGGGCGATACTGGCTCGTGACATAAGGAAAGCCCTTATTCTCCAAAGAACTTTGTTACGATGAAACCTTACTATATAGTTTTTGCTTTATTGGTAAATTGTAAAAGAACACAACCCAATCTGATCAAATCTTTCTTTAATTTAATCACATTGTATCGAGACTTACATTGTTTTCAAGAAGCAGTGAGCAGCCGTCACAACAAGGTTGTCCCTGACCAGCGTCCCGCCACAGATGGCCACCTGCCGTCCGCTCTTGAACCGATGGAAGAGCTGGGCCTGCCAGGGCCAGGAGCCGGCCACTGCCTCTACGCCGCCCACAATACGCTTCACAAATAACGGCTGCCAGGTCGGTAACTGCCTTGTGCCGCAACCCACGTCTACAGAGCAGACCAGAATTGAAGAAAAAACAAAAGGTGGCATCACAGATGAATCTCATCATATCTGCGTCATTTATATAAGTTGACTACCTGAGAAGGAGGGCCCGATTGGCGAATATGAGTTAGACCCAACTTTTTACTTCTTCTACCATAATACTTCTGAAAATCTGAGTGTAAGAACTTGTCACCTTTTTCCGGGACGCACTCTTTTTGCTGGCAACTCTCAAGCTGAACTTCTTTCCCGGCGCAGGCAATGCTCAGCTCGTGGCACAGTCGGTAGCGCTGCCGCTGACCAGGCCCACAGTCGGTGTTGCAGGCCGACCATTCACTCCATAAACTCCAGCCGTACACGGGATCCCAGGCCGACTTGACATCTGCGATGGGAATGTCATAAAAGCAATCCGAACTTTTATTTATAAATGACAGATTTAATTGTCCTCTACGAGGGAAGAAGATTGAAGTGAATTTGGGAGTGTGGCCTAGTGTTCAGGGTTCACGACTCCTGATCAGAGGGTCAGGGGTTCGAGTCCCACTGCTGGCCATATGTTGTATCCTTGGGCAAGCCACTTCACCCCCACTTGCCTCTCTCCACCCAGGAGTATAAATGGGTACTGGCATTAGCTGGGGAGTAACCTGTGATGGACTGGCATCCCAAGGAAACCAGAGATAAATGCTATCATGATGGGCCACATTGGCTCATGACAGACCTTACCTTTTTTTTTAAACTGCATGGTTTTTTTTGTAGGAGAAACAAATTCATAATACTGCATTTATCACAGAGAAATTCATCAGGTTTTGTTTGTTTGTGTGAGCCTCTAACAAACAAAAAGGGGGATTGGGCTGAAATTTTTTTTTCTGTGAAAGGTGACTCGCTTTCCTAAATGTTCAGGTTAGAGTGGAAATATGTCACTAAATTGTAACAATTTCTCAGAGATATATATTCTTCAAAAATACAGGTTTTTATTATGTAAGATTTTTCTTGTTTGATTTACAGATTTTTCTTTATTTTATAGACCAAGGGTTTTTTTTTTTTGGGGGGGGGGAATGCCCTATGAGATGTGCCTTAAAGTACAACAAAAGTGAAAATAAGCACTTCTTGAAATGATTGTTATCATACGGAAATGATTTCATAGGACTCTGTTCAGCATGCAAAACTGCTGAGTGTGGAAAAAACAATCTGCTTGGCAATTGCAAACAGCCAGCATTACTGGTAATTTTTGGGGATAAAGGTTGATTTTTGCCCTAATCTTATAAATGATGCATGTTTTCTTGGGCGAGGTGCAATTATGACGCCGTGATCGGGTTTCTTACGGCAGTTAGTTTCATCCGAGCCGTCCCCGCAATCGTTGTCCTTGTCGCATCGCCATCCCTGAGGCACGCAGAAGTCTTGATGGTGACAGGGAAAGGCTCCTTTCCAACAGCGGTCCTCCACTGAGATTAACAAAGGAAAACAAAATCATCAACAAAAGTGGTAAAGAAAACCCCAGTGATTTACATAGCTTCGTCTGGTGGATCTTGTGATAAAATAACGCTGAGTCAAAAATCAGTTTCTTGTCAGAGCTGTTTAAAAAAAATTATGGAGGTGCCCTTTTTCGGGGGGGGGGGCAGATTTTCCAAGGTGGCCATTGGGTTCTTTCATTTTTGGGAATACATATTGATGAGAATTTGACTTGGAAGAAACATATTGACATTATTTGTATGCTCTGTCGATTTCTTTGGTTTTGTTTTGATATTCCAAACTACCCATTAAGTTGTTAGTTGAGCAAACTCATTTGAATCAAATGGTAGAAACTTTTATTTTACCTGTGCCGCAGATGTCAGCCGTTTTCATCCGACCAATCATTGCAGTCCGCTATGTTGTCGCACACCCAGGACCACTTGAGGCATGCCTCTCCAGAACGGCATCTGAAGCAAGCTACAGATCAGCAAAAAAAGATTTGTTGATCAAACTTAAGAAAACTCCCGAATATTCACATATCAATGTCCAAAAAATAATTCATAAAACTAAATCTGAATCTTGCGGGTTTGCAGAAACTCCCAACTCACAAAAAAAAGATCTAAGATATTAAAATTAACAATTGACAGCCTGGGGCGAATCTGACTTTCAGGAAAGGGGGTGGGGTTGATGTAAAGGGGGGTTTAATCACTTGAGTGAGGGCGTGCGGCTCCGGCCATGCCCCCAGAAATGTTTAACATCTACTGAAACAATGTATTCCCCTGCATTCTAAGGCAAGTTTATAATAAATTTAGAAACTTTAGAATTCCATTTATTAATTTTTTGTCCCATTTTACCAGTATCATGACATTATTCAGCAGCTGGAGCCTGGAGGACCCCCCCCCCCCCGATTCGCCACTGACAACTGACCCACCCACCCCCCCCCCCCAAAAAAAAAGTGACAAGTTTTTGTACAGCAATTACACTGCAGTTCCTGCCTTATATGAAATTGCTATGTGCTTATAAATATGGAACCTCACTTAATTATTGAGAATAGGTATACAAAAGGTGAGGATGATGGTAAATCGAGGAATCCTTACTTACATCTTATGTTCTTGCAGTTGTCCAGAAGCTCGTCTGCACCATCAACACACTGTTCAATGCCATCACATATTTCTGCCTCCTTTAAGCACTTGTTATCACAGGACACTGTGCGGCAGGTATTGGCTTCCACTGCAGAAACTGTGAATTTAAAGATTTTGTTTCTAAAAATGAATGAGCAAAAACGGCAACTTAGAGACCTCCTATATGATTGATTAGGTGACGAGGGGTCTTGCCATACTTACGACAGTTCTCCTCCTTTTCGTCCGACTTGTCCTTGCAGTCCGCATGACCATCACACAGCCAGGAATCGGACACCATGGTTGTCCCCTCTTCGCATGTAAATCCTGGGGAGTTGAATAAGAATAATCTTGGAATGCGATGTAAACCCGCAAACGAAGAAGTTTGACCTTGACTTGTCATAAGTTATAATTGGAAACCACTGTTTCTTTAATGACGTAATTTTAGTAATAAAAGTTTTAACCTTCGTAGTGGACCGTAATACGTTTTCAACTCTTTTCTTTCGTTGTGAGGATATCATGTTTCAAGGTTTTTATTTTATTTATGATACAGGTGTTAGAAGGCGATCTCAGCGGTCCATTGACTTCAAATATGCGGAGCTTGCTCTTCTGAGCGACGTGAATGAGAGGCACAAAGTTGGCGCGAGGGATACGACGCCACATGCCGGCGTTGTGCCGGCACAGTGCCGGTCCCACGCAAGCGTCTGACGTGATCGAAACCGTGAAACGCCGACATTTTCCCGGTGTTAAGCCAGCGTTTGAAGGGTTTGGGGCCGGCGTTTGCGCCGGAACTATGCAAGCGTATGAAGTGGTTGTAACGGCGTTGTGGCGGCGCTGTGCCGGCGTTGTGCCGGCCTTGTACCGGTGTTGTGCCGGCGTGCGCGTGGAGCCTGCTTTTTGTCGGTACTCTACATGCATACACTGCATGGGTCGGTAACGGCTGAAGTGCCAGTGCTATCGTGTCGGCGTGATGCTGTTTCTTTTGCCGGCATCGTAAGGGGTTGGCCGGCTCGCCTAAAGCCTAGTTTCCATATCGACGTAAAGCTTATGCAGACACTGCGCAGATAGTGCTCGGAACCGTTGGGAAAGTTGAACCGGGTTTAATTAATTGCTGATCGTCTGCAAGATAGTTTGCGTCTACGTCCGGGTCGTCGTGACATTTGTGGGTGAAATGTTTCCGTATGTCTGCGTTGCAGTTTGGGACTTGTTTGCGTTGCTCTCTGAGTTTCTTTTTGGCGATATGGAAACGAGGCTAAATTGTCTGGACAGATGGTAAGCTCCCATACGTCGGTCAGTATAAGTTACTTCCCTAAAAACCTTATAATCTTTGTTGGAATCTTGAGAATTGCATGTCCCTAACGTGATTGAACGAATTCAGAAGAGAAGACAAGTAAACGATTTCTGTATCAAGATGCTGTTTTTGAAGAAAAAAAAATTCGGTGATAGTCAGTCGTTGCAAATACAATTGCATGTAGTTTTGTTAGGAAATGGTTAGAAAATGTAGGGACTCACACATTGTAGGCCTACATAATCCATAAATGTTACGTCCGAGTACCACATTATAAAACTACGTTATTCTCCTAACCTTTTTGCTTAACGACTTTAAAGTAAGACTGATTTACTAAGTTGAGGATGAAATGTTCAAAACCTCATCTTTAGCACATGGATTTTTTTGCATTTTTTTTGTGGCTGAAAAACAAGGGAACCTGTGTTAACAAGAATGGAGTGCCCATCTCTCTTTCGTTAGCGATTGGGCCAGACTCATATGCTGCTGTGGGGGATCCCATAGCTGAAAACAAAGTGTCAATAAATTGTCTCGTGTGGGTCTTTGAGACGATAGATACGTAATATTGACCTTATTTGCAAGATGTACTTGGTGGCCTCATTTTTATTCTGGACGGGACGAAAATTCGGCTTCTACAAAAAAAATGTGCCTGTCTTCTCGAAATTTCAGCGGGGGACAAGGAGCACAGGCCTGGGGCCATACTCATAGAGTTCCGCCACTTTAATACGGTCTTAGTATCTGGTCAAGGGAGTAATCATCAAAGTAAGTGACTGTATCCCTCTTTAAACTGTGCCGATTGTTTAATGTGGCTATACCTGTGTATTTGCAATCGGCACCTTCATCGCTCTCGTCCTCGCAGTCGTAATACCAGTCGCACTCCAAGTCGCCATCGATACACTGGCCGCTGGCACAGGCGAACTCCCACGCCTTGCAACGCTTGTCGCTCTTATCTGAGAAATTATGAACTTTATTAAGCATAGAATGAGACTAAATATCCTGTTGAGATTTGGAATTTTGGAAAGAGCTTCCGTGACGTTAAGGCGTGTAGACGCACTTAATCAATAAGCGTGTCAATTTCAAGTCCAGCAGTGGGACCACACTCCACACCCTCCGCATAAATTTTTTTGGTTTTCTTCATTATTTTTTAATTTATCAAACATTGTACCTACCTTTAACGAACGACACAGGGCTGGCAGTTATCAGCATCCATAGATGTGAAAATAAGACCAATGACATGAGAATATGGTGCATGGTCAATCTGATATTATTGGAGTCATGCACAGCCATCACCATGTTGGACCGCGGAAGGCACAGGGAACGGACTGCCGTTCACAAGATGCAAATGAAGCCATCACGATCCATTCTCCTTATGCTGTTCTCTTGGAAGTTGAAACTCATTGTTGTTTTGGATTTGGAATTTGGGATATGCGCAGAGCTCGCAAAACGAAGTGGGGTTGTTGGCGGAATGGTGGGCCTAATTCTTGACTTAAGATGGACCGCAGATATGTTGAGCGATATATGGTCCAATAGTTACGGTGTTCGGCCCATGACGGAGAACATGGTGCTTGTGTCCTTGGGCAAGGCACCACACTAGCTTCTCTTTACCCAGGAGTCAGGGCGTCAATCGCTTCTCAAAAGTGTGTGTGGGGGGGGGGGACATACCTTGATTAGAAATAATACGAGCACGAATTGCGAAGCCCTTACAGCGTGGGGTTCGGGGCCCGCAAGGGCCCCGAAAAAAAATCGGATTCTAGATGCTCATGTGGTGTGATCTGAGGCAATTTCTGACCACTTTAACCAATATTTTCCCAGCAAAAGATATTAATTTAAAATCATTTTCGAGGTTGAAGTCATTGAATAAGCTATTATATTCTAAGCTAAAGGAATGGGGTTTGGGGCCTGAGGGCCCCGAAAAATTGTGGATTCTAAATGCTCTGTGGTGCGATCTGAGGCAATTTCTGACCACTTTAACCAATATTTTCTTAGCAAAAGATACATTGTAGTACATAATAGGGCCCTGTAAATGAGGCACGAGTTCAAAAATCTGGGGGGGGGGGGAACATTTGATATTGTGTCCCCCACCCTTCAAAAAGTAGGGGGGGGACACGCGTCCCCCTGTCCCCTTCCAGGATTGACGCCCATGCCAGGAGTATAAATGGGTACAGACCAGCGATGCAGGTTTGTAATCTTCGTACGTAGTAATGTTCAATATGTGGCTGTGTAAAAGGGATCGTTGGCCAAATTCATCGAGTCGCCAAGATGCAAAGAAGGGTAACCAGCCATATTATACAGCGCGTCCAAAACACCCGCAGCATTTTTTTTTTGCGAGGCTCTAGCGTCGCTGCGGAAATACGTACCGCCATTATTTTTATATCATTTTAAAGCTTGGGATCTTAACTTTATCCCTGCATAGTAAGTATTGGTTTGATTTTTAAAAAAGGTTTTGAAACGACACATGTTCAACTAAAGGCATGTTAAAAACAAACTCAACCGATTTCAAGGAAAATCAACCATGCGCATTATTTTTTAATGTGGAAATGCTTCATGTTCATGATGTGACGATCTCGTTGCCTGTTACTTCTGTGTTTCCTATTCTTTTCGATCCACGTAGACTACACCTTAAATAAATTCACAACATTGTTCTTCGTTTCAAGTTCAATTTTGAAATTCACGTGCAAGTATGTACCTATTCAAAAAGCGCGCTCATAGTGTGATTCGAGTTTGCATCTGATGTACCGCATCATCAAATTTTATTGAAATCGGTTGAGTTTGTTTTTGACATGCCTTTTTTTTTTTTTTTTTTTAAATACAACTAATGTTACAACTCTTTTAAATATCAAACCAATACTCGCCTGGGATAAAGTTTAGATTGCAAGCTTTAAAACTGTATAAAAATAATGGCGGTTCGTGTTTCCGCTTCGACGCTAGAGCCTCGCCAAAAAAAAATTTGTATTTGGGACGCGCTGTTTTTTGTGTCCCTTGATGTCAGCTTTTCCCTGTTAAAGTTTATTTGCGTTTTAACTCTCACAAAGTAGCCTCAATGCCAACACCTGAGAATGTTGGCACTTAGGTTGGTGGTTAGTGGAGGAAAAAGTGGCTGATATAGAGTTCAGGTGATATGAAGGGGGGTGAATGAAGGTGTGCTTGCTCTTCCGCAGGGAAATTTTGAAATTTACGTTGTTTTTTTTCTGCATTCGATTTTTTTTGGAAAATGAATTTGGGAACTTTAGCATTCCATTTTATTATTTTGACCTCATTTTCTAGTTTCTTAGCATTAATCAGCAATTGAAGGGGGGGGGGTGCGACACCCCATCCAATCTCCCCTCTAGATCCGCTACTGTGAATGGTAGAAAAGAAGTTGAAATTATTGATTCCCCCTGTCGTATATTCATTTTTGTCCGATTAGTAAGTTTGAACAAGCCAACACGGGCGACGGGCATGCACTGCAGTGAACAACCAGTCTTTATATACTAGGACAATCTTCGTCATGGGACGTAATGGTGGTGTGTTTTGTCTTGATTGATCTGCTGGAAAAGCAAATAGGAATTGGGATCATATCGGACATATTAATACGTTATTATAATTATATTCTTAATTGGTATCAGGCATTTTGAAACCAGTGAGCTCAGGTACATGCCTCGACTGGCCTTTCTATCTTGCATGCAGTGCGCCACCACATCTAAAATACTAGGCCGTGCAACCGGAAACCTAGTAGGCCTACTGCCGGAATGGAGGGGCACAAAGTTCATTTCTACCACTATATGACTTGCACTATAGCAAGTACATTATCTGTCTGTCATCTACATGTACATGTATTATGAAATGACTTATCAAGGACGTGTAGATATTGAAAGGTGCCATTGTTGAACCTAAAAAAAAGATAAGGACTAATCAATCTCTGTTAAGGCCGTGTGTCAATTTCTCATCTTCAACACAACTATGAGAGTGGAAAATCTGATTTTTATAAAGGAGTTTGTTACGATGGTGCGCATCAGCCTGAAAATGAACATTGGATGTTTTGTTTTACTGTCGACGTTGGTCTCCCAACTTGTGCTGGCTAACCAGTACGACCCACACGTCTACCCGAGCCAGGGACCGTTCATCGAGGGCTGGTACGCCCGTATAACTGACAGTTCCTCCCCGCAGTCTTTCGGCGTTCTCTTCGGTCGTGTGTTGCCCAAAACCAACTCAGGGCCTGCTGGCGATGCGACCCCACTGACGTACATAGCCATCATCCGCAGTGCTGGCGCCCAGGCACCGCTCGTGGTGGCGGAGGCCTACCCCGATCTCAACAGCATCTCCGTGACGGTGGACGGTGGGAGGCCCGTGGACGCGAACCGGACGACCGGAGTCCGGCCAACTTCAGATGGGCCGCTGAGCCGTACGGGTCGTTCACTGTCACGGGTGAATCGACAGTCTTCAACTTCACGATCGGAGACCAGAGTTTGTCTGGGAGCTTTGGGCCTCCGGTTCCGTGGGGCCGGATGGGAAAGGTGAGACCATCAAGTCACAATCAAGCTCTGCAGTAGCACAACAAGGATTCAATTTGGGGCGCACGTAAGACCTCATTTCTGGATAGGGTTTTGAACGGGGGAGGGGGGACTCATGGGGCAGTGGCGTAGCCAGGAATTTTTCAGTGGGGGGGGGGGGGGGGGCGCTGGGGGGGGGCTGGAACATTTCATGGGGGGGCGTCATGTAGATCAATGATAATTTTTTTAGAAACTCAAAATCTCAGTGGGGGGCGACTGGGGGGCGACAAGGTTTCATGGGGGGGGGGGGGGCTGGCGCCCCTCACCCCCCCCCCCCCCCCCCCCCCCCCCCCCCCCCCCCCCGTGGCTACGCCACTGTCATGGGGCTCACAGGACTCCAGCTGCATGGGGGCGTCGCGCCACGTGCCCTGTCAGTATATCGCCACTTTGGGCAAGTGTGCGTTGGGAAGTGAGTGACTGTTGGACACATCTAAAACGGCCGCAATTTCGACTCGGTGAAGTCAGTTTGTCCATTCCAGCTGGGACCGATCTATATAAACATGAATACAAGGGGCGGTTGTTAAATAACACTGTCGGTATTTATAACCTTCTTAATTTGTTGCAGCAAGTATAGGCCTGTGTCATTATCATGATGGAATAATTTTGTCCCATTCTCAGGTCCCGAGGGCTGGCTCAGTAATCTCCCGTTTGTCCCGCTCCACTGGTTCGTCTACAGCCTCGCATCGGTCGGGACCTACACCTGGGAGAACAGCGCAGAGGGTCTCAGTCTCCACGGTAACGCCACGATGCACCAGGAGAAGAACTGGGGAGACGGCTTTCCGCCATCTTGGATCTGGATGCAGGGCGTCGATGCAACCAGCTCCGCAGCCTTCGCGGGGAGTTTCGGCAGGCTGAGGTTCGCGGGGGGAGTATCGATACCGGCTCATCTATTCGGTTTCCGAGACTACGGCACCGGCACCGGCCTGGAACTGGACTTCCGCCCGGACAATTCGGTCACCCGAATAACCGCCGACGGATGCAGCGGTGTGGCGAGAATCGAAGTGGAATCGTTTTGGTACAAGGTCGTTGTGGACGCCAGTGCCCCTCCCGCGACCCTGCAGAAGTGTCTCAGGGGCCCGACGGAGTACGGATTCCAAAACGTCTTGGTCGAGAGTTATTCTGCGACGGTAGATATTTCTGTGTATGAAAGACGCTACTTCAGCTACCAGCTCGTGGAGAGGAAGGTATTTAAAGGAGCAGCCCTGGAATTCGGAGGTGAAGAACTCTGCCAGCAAAATCCGTGCACGGCAGAACTTTAATTTTGATGTCATAATAATCCTGATAAGGATGCTTAAAGGGAAGATACGACATTTTGCAAACATCAAAAAACGAAATGATCACATTATCACGAAATACCTAACTGGATTGTTAGGGAATGACAGTCTAAAGCAACCTGTAAAATCGTGGCTCCTAGTGTGCTGACATTTTCAAGAAAAATGGTATTTTTCCAATGCTGGTCAGCCGACCAGCGTTTTTTTTCAAAAAGTGCTACTAATTTTTCATAATTAGTTATTCCGCATTTTCTGTGCAATTATTGATTACACACCTGTGAAGGGGTACAAGCCTGCTAGACCGATTCTCTTACCTCACAATTCCCCAAAGTCTATAAATTGCTCCGTTTCGTCCTAAGTGAGGTCAGGGAACCAGACTATAAGAACATGATTGGTTTTCTTAGTTTTTCCAGCATCTACAAGCCCAAAACGTGAAATAAGTCATTTTAACAGTGATTCTCCAAATTCATTATTTCTGATAATTGCAGCAAAAGCAAATGTTGTACATTCCCTTTAAAGGTCGCAGGCAGAAAATTATATCATTATCCCCAGTTTGGCTAAGGTGATAGTAGGTATAAATATTCGAGTATAAAGCACAAGAATAAATATACAACTTGTTTGTTTAAAGTTACGTTCCCCGTGCTCTTCTGACCCGCGAGGACGACTATTGTCTGACGGCCAATAATTCGAAATTGTAAAGTAATAATTGAGTAACTAAATACGGCCGATTTATTTCGGTCGATGCATCATTCAAAAGTGAATATTAACCTTTGTATTGCTAGAAAAATGTTAATAGAAAAAAAGAATTTATTTTGGGGGATGAATCTCAAAACTAGCACGCTGAACGCAACAACCAGTTCTCGTTTATACTAGATTTTGCTAAATAAACCAAACGAAACCGATCAATATTAAACTTGTCATGTATCATTGTAATATCAAACTAACTTTTCATAATCCGTACAAGCATAATGTCCGTCCCGACTATTGAACACGCAAGAACAACCCATGCGTTGCTTGAACAATAACTCATTAAATACTTACCGTACTGTTTTGGAATTTCCGTTAATTATTGTTAAGTACAGGTTAAATAAGCCTATAAAGTATTAAGACAAATCAATGTTGCAGTCACCAAAAGAAATAATTGTGTAATCACGAAGAAAACCTGCCTTAAATTCGTCCCAGTGTACAAAAAGTACTCCTGACTATTGAACACACAGAAACAAGCCATGCGTTGCTTGAACAATAACTCATTAAATACTTATCGTACTGTTTTGGAATTACCGTTAATTATTGTTAAGTGCAGGTTAAATAAGCATATAAAGTATTAAGGCAAACCAAAGTTGCAGTCACTAAAAAAATAATTATGTAATCACGGAGAAAACTTGTCTTAGGCCACAACAAAATGTCTCCGGTTTCTGGTATGGAGCTTGCCCAAAAAGTGGTGCGGCGACGCGGCTTTTTTTTTTTTACCTGATTGTTTTGCTTCAAATATCGGCTGATGACTGCAAATGGTGCCCGACTAAACTTAGTGCAAATATATGGGAGTCCAGAGAGGCCACATAAAGCTTATTCTCGACCATGACCCAATCTAAAAACACGTTAAATTGTGCAGCAGCAGGATTCCAGTCAAACCAGTGAGTTTGCCGGTTTTGAGACATCATCTTTCATTGAAAAAAACAACTTTTTCATTTTGCCGACGCGCATGGCGACGCGCGCGCATACCAGAAACCGGAGACTTTTTTTTTTGGCCTTAAAGCTATAGTCCATCATTTGTAATTTGTGCATTTTGTTCGTTTGAAGCAACAAAAGGGTTCAAAATCTAATGAAGGATACTGAACAACTAACCTGATGAAGTTTCAGCTAAGCTTCAGCTGTACATATCGAGAAAAACAGCATTCTAAGATCTCAATTTCAAATCAAAAGTTACTGAATCATGTTTGAATTGTTTTGAATTGCAGCCATACGCGACGTAGCGCACTGATCCGACGAATTATAACAACCGCGCGCGCGTGTGCGTCGTTCCAATACTTGTGCGCGCTGCGCTGAATAACAAAACGAACTACTAATTTAAATTTTCCTATACGGTGCTTCTTAAGAATCACCGTTGGAAATGCCTTCTTTCGTTGATTACTTCAAAATGACAGCTTCCCAGAAGGAATAATTTCACAGGGAGTTTAGTTCCCTTACTATCTTTCAACCAAGTTTGTTTTTCAACAATAATTACGCCAGTTACTTTTCGGATGGCTGCAAATGATGGACTATAGCTTTAAAGACGTCTAAATGTACAGAATATACGCCTGACTTTTTAGCACGCAGAAACAACACACGCGTTGCTTGAACAATAACGCAATCTATACCTACCGGACTAGTTTGAAATTTCCATTAATTTTTGTTAAGGATAGGTAAAATAAGTCTATGAAGTATCAAGACAAACCAATGTTGTAGTCACCCAAAAACTTTTTTTTTGCCATCACGGATAAAACCTGCCTTAAAGACGTCCCAGTGTACAGAAAATATTTCAGACTATTGAACACGCAGAAACAACTCACGCGTTGCTTGAACAATAACTCATTGAATACTTATTGTACTGTTTTGGAATTTCTTTTAATCAATGTTAAGGATAGGTTAAATAAGCCTATGAAATATAAAGACAAACCAATATTGTGGTCACAGCAAAGAACTTTTTTGTCATCACGGATAAAACCTGCATGAAAGGCGTCCCAGTGTACAGAAAATATTCCCGACTATTGAACTAGCAGAAACAATCCACGCGTTGCTTGAACAATAACGCAATCAATACCTACCGAACTGGTTTGAAATTACCATTAATTATTGTTAAGGACAGGTAAAATAAGTCTATAAAGTATTAAGACAAACCAATGTTGTAGTCACCACAAAGATACTTTTTGTCATCACGGGTAAAAACTGCATGAAAGACGTCCCAGTGTACAGAAAATACTCCCGACTATTGAACACGCAGGAACAATCCACGCGTTGCTTGAACAATAACTCATTTAATACTTATCGTACTGTTTTGGAATTTCCGTTAATTATTGTTAAGTGCAGGTTGAATAAGCCTTTGAAGTATTAAGGCAAACCAATGTTGCAGTTAACGGAAACAAATAACTGTGTAATCACGGAGAAAATCTGTCTTAAAGACGTCTAAATGTACAGAAAATACTCCAGACTTTTTAAAACGCAAAAAAACCCAAAAAAACACGCGTTGCTTGAACAATAACGCAATCAATACCTACCGGACTAGTTTGAAATTACCATCAATTATTGTTAAGGAAATGTAAATAAGTCTATAAAGTATAAAGACAAAACAATGTTGTAATCACCCCAAAAAGTTTTTTTTGTCATCACGGATAAAACCTGCCTTAAAGACGTCCCAGTGTAAAGAAAATATTCCGTACTATTGAACACGCAGAAACAACCCACGCGTTGCTTGAACACTTACTCAATCAATGCCTACCAGACTGGTTTGAAACTTCCTTTAATAAATGTTCAGGATAGGTAAAATAAGTCTATAAAATATAACAACAAACCAATGTTGTAGTCACCACAAAGAACTTTTTTGGTCATCACGGAGAAAACCGGCCTTAAAGACGTCCCAGCGTCACCCAAGGGCAGTGGCGTAAATCCGTGTCGGCGAGAGGGGGATGACCAAAGATACTAAAAGCGGGGGTCACTTGGCCAAAGGGATGGAGTGCGGGCATATACCTCGAGCGGGGGGGGGGGGGGGGGGGGGGTCGGCCCCTTAAGTTCTCTTTGAAATGATCGTAGTGCGTAATAAATCGAATAACTGAAATAGTGAGCGTCCAATTTCCGTCAATCCGTGTGGAACACCGGTATGCTGCACTCCAGGTTCCAGCAGCATTGCCCCCCCCCCCCAGGCCCAGCTAGACATCGCTGATCTCTTTTATACTGACTGGATAGCGCTTCGACCATATGCGTCTGCACAAGACCTTGACGCCCTCGCACACACGCGGCGGCCATGCCCACAGTGTTATTTTACTCATGTTATAGATTTTGTTCAAATAAAGAATTTTATTTCATGACTTTGCATATATTTTTACGAGGGATTGTCAAAATGGCGTCCAGTGACTTCACCCCCACGGCCCGAAGCGCTGTCCAGTCAGTATAATAGAGATCAGTGCTGGACATACACCTTTCTTTGAATGGAAATAATGACAGCACTGGTCTATTGTGATGGAGCCTGATTGCTCATTATATAGCCTGGGCCTAATAAAACAATGTTTCCATTTTCTGGGTGTTTTTTTTGGGGGGGGGAGGGGGTGGAATACAGTCTGATTCTGACTTATCTCAAAGACGTATTTCCCGTGTTACATCGAGTTTGAACCCGAAACCTTTTTTTCAGTTTTCCTAGCAATATGAAAGTTATTCACTTTTGAATCAGACATCGAGCGAAAAAAATCCACCGACGTTCGTTTTATCGAACTATAAAATCTACTTAATTTGCGGCCTGGGACAACAATACGGCTCTCGCAGGGCGGGTTAATCGGGTGCAAAATGAAAGCCCCTTTTAAAAAGTAGGTCCCCCCGTAAAAACAGAACATACAAATTGAAATTCTTTAGGACAATTTTTTTTAAAGACCACGGAAAACTATCTTTAGGCCTAAGCAGCGAGTACTAAAATCTGTTTTTGGCGACCCCGGCCCCTTATCCAGCCCCTTTGTTTCATAAAAAAAATTCTGAACTGTTTGTTTTAATAAATTAACTTTTAGAAAAAAATCATATTAAGATAGCTCACCTTTTTTCACGGGAAAGTGATGTGTTTATATTGCATATTGTGTAAATATTGATGACCTTTGTGATGTCAATAAGATATGTTATCTTCAGACAATTATTTTCGATCAAAGGTTCACGAATAGCATCCGGGTTCTGTGGTGATATTACTATATTGCACCACCCGTTTCTATAGGTAGGTGTTTTTTTTCGGTAAGATTTTTTATTTTCTTAATTTTTTTGGGAAGCTGAATGACATTTGTTTATAACCCATTTTGTTGTCTGTAAAATATGCATTCTTCACCCCCCCCCCCATCGCTGCGCTAGTAAGA